ACTGGACCACTAGACTATGAGGCTACTTCAATATCTAGGGATTGCAAGTTGCTGGAAGACGAGAGCGTTGCCAACAATTCATGACCGACCCAGATTACAATCAATTTTTGTACTCTTTTTGTGCTGTCCTAAATACCGGTACGTGACAGAATGGCAATGTCAAAGACAGTACATAGGTAGGTAGGTAGAGGAAATGGACAAAAAGGGGGTGTTTGTTGGGTTTTGGAACAGATCAGATATGAGAAACTCAATATGTAATAAGGTAAGCGCATCGAGATCGTGACCAAGTAAGCGCAAGAACCACCAATCGACGCCTCCGGTTAGCGAAAAGTAATAGTTCACAGCCATTGTTTGATCCCTCAAGAGCGTCCCATGCATTTACAACCAAACTCACGGTGAAGCAAAAATCTCGGACGCCAAGCCCAGACAGCTTCGTAGTTACAATAGGAATACACATTCTGTTACTTTTGTTCAGAACGGACTGCGATGTGTGGTCTTGACCTCATGATAAGTCTGTGATACAGGGAGGCCCAGCTGGTCAAGATGACAACTTGTCATGAGCCAGCGACCAACGATCTGGGCAGGTTACCATAATCTTCACTCTGGTATGAATATTGCTAGGCTTCTTATTTGCATCGACGAAAAACCGCATCCTAGTGTCTCGAGCCTTGGTGGACCGGCTATCGGACCCCGAAAGCTTTACACGGATGCTTGCTTGCGAATTGTTTGCTTTCAGCTTTCATGGCACTTGTCAGCGTAATGCTTCATCTGGTATTGTCGTGGCTTCGCGATTACGACTTTGCTGTCAACAACCAGCCGATCAACCCGATCATTGGGGTCTGCTCGCAAGACGTGCTACGGCGTACAAGCTACGGAAACACGAACATGTTTCAAGGACGGCCCAATAATTTCCAGGCCCCTTGCAAATACCTGCATGAGCCAGTTCAAGGAACTATACATATGCCGCGTCAGTTTCTAAAGCATTGTGTCAGTGTAATAGAAGAGAGCGACGACAGGAGTGATGTCTGCAGAGACCTCTCGCTATCCCTTTAAGAAAATTTGCTGCGTCCAAGTGACTTTTCGCCTATTTCCCCCATTCTACCACGAATTTGGATGAAAACACGAAAAACTTCGTTTGCAAGCGACGATTTCCCGCGCAGGTTATACCATTTACGTAGACAAGTAGTTAGGTAATTAGCTTACTTCGCGTCCTATATATCGAATTTAAATAAGGAGCTCGGGAATTGTGCTATATATTCCCAGAATCCGATACACACACATTATGGTTCGGAATCATCTACGAATGGCTATTACATTTGACGTGCCATTTCGCGCGACCCGACTTACCGGGTCGCTCCCCCTAAAGGTAAACAACACGGGAACTCACACTGTATCTGCTAGGTTTCTTGTAAGTAGGTAGATGTCAATCAGCTGCTCAAGCGGTGGAAAAACTCAACTTGTGCACCCAGAGAGACGCCGCCTCCTCGATTGGAAGATTGGAAAATTGGTCCACCACTCCACCATTCCCGCACCCTGGTCACAGACGTGATGTATCTCCCGCGTTTTCATCGCCGACGAAGGGGATGGAGGGTGGCAGCGGCCCATGAGCCCGGCAGCATAATGCCGTACCGGCAGATTGAGGCTTACCGTACCTTGGGCCTAACAGGAGAGCAAAGACTGCAGCATTCCTCGTCAAGTGCGGTACTAACCTAGCAGCCAACAGGTCCCGCTTACAGAATCCCCCGTCTGTGCCTACGGAGTTGGGGCGACGATTTGGGTAAGACTTCCCTCGTGGAGCGCTATCCGAGGCTGCATGGTGCACAGTTGCGACCAGACAGTAGTTACATACTCCGAGAACCAGACACGATTTCCTTGGACGAGGCGTGCGAGTCCAGACGGAAGTCAACACCAACCAACCATTGAATGCTCCACATCGACCACTAGGCCAGAGGCATCTGTCGTACCCCCCCCCCCGTTTGCCCCCCTTTTGGTTTAGATTTCTGTTGTTGTCCATCTCTCGCAATGATCCGGGCGGTGGTCACAACAGCAGTCGAAGGCATCCACGGATCCATGGTGCAATTAGACGCGCTTTACTTTTCTCTAGGTTGTTCTGATCGGAGCGGCGGTCGTTGCATGCGGGCTGTGAAGGCTCCCATGAGCAAGCGAGCGATGGGTGAGGGTGAGTAAGTCCCCGAGAGTGACTGGTGGAGGTGTCCAGGTGCAGTTGACATGTAGTAGTGTGCCGGCTGGGCTCTCCTGTGCCGAACAGCGGCTAACTAATAGACCACCAACCCAAGGCAAATAAGGAGGAGCACTTGCTCTGTGTCCGGTGATTACTCCTCCAACAACGTCCAGATGAGTTAATTTGGCTGGCTGATGGTGACGTGAATGATGTCAGGGTTGCCACCATCCTGAAATGTCCTTAAGCAGATAAGAGACTGAATGTGGGATAGATATCCGAACGTCCCTCAGCGTTGCTAGTGAATGGCTTGACGACATATTGTTTTGAGGCACGAGCTCGACATCTTGGTGCCTAGTTGGCTCAGCAGGTGACTGGCTGGCTTTGTTTGGCTCAAAGTGGTTGCAAGCATGAAGCAGGTTAAGCAGGTTGGGTCGCCGAGCTGTCATGATTAACCGTTGACCTGTCATCGCAGTGCCAGGACCCCCTGGTCGAGTGCACGAGGCTGTCCCGACCGGAAGACCGAACCACTTTGGCGGGGGTGTGTTAACCTTGCCGTTGGTGGCGGGTAGTGGGCACCTGCAAGTTGGTACGGAGGAAAGATGGCCTGGCACAGCGAGTAAAATATTAAAGCTAGGGAGCTCAATGTTGCTTCAATGTTGCTCTTCAAACGTTCTAGAGGATGCTGCGTGGTGTAACTACCTAGGTACCTAGGTAGATTTGGTAGGTAACTTACATGATCACCCCTCTGATCATCTGCATGTCCACGGTACGGAGTACAATTTCAAAAATGCCTGGTTGCTGAAGGTGTCGGCTGGTATCTGGCGATGGGGGTGAAGAAGACTCGGATGCAGCCAGGCATAATAACTTAATCCCTCCCCCTCTCTGGCGAATTGCATGTCCCAGCTTTTGAAGTTCTTCCTCCTTCGATGCACTGTTCAGCACTCCAGGCCACTTGGCCGCACTGATGGAGACCAGTCCTGTGGTTTTAGGCACTGTATGTTCCAAACGTCACTCAACGCTGCTCACTGCACGTGCGGTCTGGTTTCCGTACAAGATACCTGTACTTGAGCGAAGCAGTCGACTCTTCATGCTGGTCGGGCTGTGGCAATGCAGAAGTACTCATCGCACCGTCTTTCCATTCATTTGATGCTTTGGTCTACGCTGCTCACCTCTCTGTCAGGCTTTGCTTTGCAGTAAAAACCTTCACAAACATTTTGACAACAGCTTCGCGACAGCAACACCCGTTTTAAATTCCATCGCACCCTAAGCACCTGCTCAGCTCGGCTGACGAATTCCTTACCTACCTAGGTACTTAGCAAGTAATGGAGCCCTCGCAATCCCCAGGCACTGCCACAGGCCGGGTAGTGCCATCGTAGAAAGCTTCAGGCTAAACCGCTCATGGCACCTGGGTCGGAAAAATGTATGTAGAGGCGGCATTCGACTGTGACGGACGAAGGCAATGTGAGGCAGGTTGACCCTTTTTAATATTGCCCAGAGCTGTTCCTGTTCCTGTCTCGTCCATCCTATCCCATCCAGCCCTGCCCGTCCCTCCACTGGCGAACCCGCCAGTCCGCCCTCATCGCCCGCCCGCGCCCCCGCTCTCTCCTCGAGGGTCGAGAGGGTCGAGAGGGATGACAACCGCCCGGCCATAAGCTCTTGCTCGTTCGCTCGCACCCTGTCTTCTGCAAGCCCTCAATGACCCTGTTCCTTCCCGTCTTCACCATCTCCCAACTCACACGCGCTGGTCATTCCATTCTTTCGTTCTTCCCCCACCCTGGAGATGGTTGTTCTCTCCTCGACTTTTCTGTATCTTTCAACCTGCGCTTGATCTTGTGGTCATCGTCCCCTCCAAGGTTGGCTGCCGCCTTTTACCTGCCGCCGGCCGCTTTACACAACCCAAGCCTTACCTACATCTTTCAACCTCAGCGACCACAAAAGCGGGCTATTTCACTGCCCAAACCGCAACAACCCTCGGACAGAACCCATAACCAATACCTCTGTAGACCTATCTTGGAGGGGGGAGGTTCTTTTTTCAACCCTCAGCAAGACTATCTCGGTTCGCCTACCCTCTCTTTCAATGAGCATTCAAGATTTGCAATACACTCGTCCAATAAGCCATGATTGCCCTTGAGTTCCTATCTTGACCCTCAAAGTCACATTGGTCGGGCTTTCTCCTACGAGCGAGTCGGTGTTCTGTAGCCATTTTCTTTTGCGTTAACCTTCTCACTGATTGGTCATTTCATACATAGGAAGGCTCTCACATACTGACATCGTTTGCTTGGCTATTGAGCCTGCAACCTGAAGCGGTGGTGTACGTGTTTGTACCAAATCAACAAGAGACTTGCCTCGGTTACCCAAAAAAAAAGGACATATTCCATCACTGCTTCTGTTGTCAGGTTTGTCGGATTCGCGAAATTTTCTGCGTCGTATACCGTGCTATAAAAAAAAAGAGAATACCCATTTATCATCATCAAAAAAACAGAGGGGCTCTTCTTGGTATCAGTGCTAGCATCGGTATTTGGGTTGGGTTTCTGATCGTTCCGAGAGTCATTGTGCCACTCTTGCAAGGACCAGCTTCTCAGTCAATCACACCTCCTGCTCCGCATAGCGCCTAGATTTATTCATCCTCCCTCAATCTTCTTCATCTTCTCTCTCTCTTTCTCCCTCCCTTTCTCTCCCTCCCTTCTCTGTCTCTCTTTTCTTTTGCCGTACTCGTCTTTTACCTCTGGCATTGGAGCTGTGGTTTGCTTGATGCCCTTGTTGCCCTTTAATCCGAGGGCCATGGCCAATTGAGCTGCTGACAGCAGAGCTGAGAAGTATGACTACGGCTGCCCAGCAGCACCTGCAGCTACAGAATCAACTGGCTGCCGAGACTTTCGATCCTGATGAAGTTCTTCCACGAGGCAGTCCTCTCATGAAAGCGCTGCACCCGAAGCTCGAGCTCTCCCCCAGTCCACCCCCGGACATTCCTCCCGCACAAGTCAGTCTTAGTCCTCCTCCCATCGACGGCTTTCCAAGGTCTAATCGCCCAAAGATTCGCCCCAGCTCCGGGGATGCCGTTCTCGTGGCATATCTCGACAACGGTCGCCGCCCAGAGATTGCTCGTGCCGCTGGCTATCGAGCGCTTCCTGGCGCCGACGAGGAGGAAGAAGACGGTCTCCTTGGAGACCCTTCTTCCCCGAGACGAGTTGGAGGATCGCCAGTATATGCTCGAAGTAGCGGTAGCGTACCGCAGTCTCTGGGTGCCATGACAAGTCCTAGACTCCAGCATCTTGCGGCTGATGCTCTCCAGGCTGTCACAACAGATCCTGTGCGTGCCTCCGTACCAAGGGAGACGCCAGATATCGCATTTTCAACCCGACACTTATCAATAAGCGATGACCGACCACACAACACCACATATCATTTGTCCTCTGGGGATCCATCGAAACAAAACGCAACATCCAACAGCGTAAACAAATCTCCCATCACCATGCTCACGCCAGCTAGCGGCGGCTTGCCGCCTCTACAGATGGATTCCCCAAAATCCGAATGCAATGGTCATATTCTCCCATCCATACGGTCTACACTTGGCGATATCAATCGCATCCCTTCCGAGCCACCAACCCCAGCCGACAAGGATATGCCGACTCTGCACGGATCCAGCGCCCACTTCTCCCGATCCCCCCCAGGGACTATGAGACGCCTGCCCCCGATGTCCGCACCACATGTTTCTCCTCCCATCTCTCCGAATGAGCCTTACCAACTCAGCCTGCCGTCACCAAGGTCTTTACCTGCATCCAGTCCGTACAGCGGTTACACTTCCAACGGACTCAACCATCGGCCAAACACAGAGTATGTGTCGAGCGCTTGTGGTGAAACACCTAGCACCGACCAATCTGCCCTAACGCCATCAACAACCACTTCCGTGGTGGACCGAATGAGCATTGACGGTATAACTAATCCACCCGTTGGATTATATGCTTGCAACTTTGCGGGATGCACCGCGCAGCCATTCCAAACTCAATATTTGCTCAACTCTCACGCTAATGTACATTCATCGGCTCGCCCACATTATTGCCCTGTCCAAGGATGTCCTCGGAGCGAGGGCGGCAAAGGCTTTAAGCGAAAGAACGAAATGATACGGCACGGTTTAGTCCACGATTCACCGGGCTATGTGTGCCCGTTCTGTCCTGAACGGGAACATAAGTACCCGCGACCTGATAATTTACAACGGTCGGTACTTTTCACTTACCTAAATATGAGGATATAATACTAATGCAGTCTGCATTGTAGACATGTGCGGGTCCACCATGTTGACAAGGACAAAGATGATCCAATGCTTCGAGAGGTATTATCTCAGAGGCCTGATGGGCCAAACCGTGGTAGGAGAAGGCGGGGGACTGCATCGTAGTGTTGGCTTGCGGTCAAACCGAGATTTCGGACCGAGGTGCAATGCAGCAGAGCCAATCGCCAAAATTTGTTTGTTTATGAGTACACCTGATGATACCAGCGGATACCAGGTTCCATTTCACGAGATTTACGAACATCATTGAGCAATTTGTTTTTCTGACCTTCGCTTGCCTTTTTTTTCTCAGCTGGTGAACGAGCTCCTAGGCTTGCGCTTAAGACGTGTAGTCCAGCTTTAGGCCACGGGGACGGCATTCTTGCATTTGATGAGCTACGGTTCCGAAACGCATTACCTCGTTCTGTGGGGAAAACCATTTGTTTCTCACGGTGTTGACTCTTCTATCTTTTCCCTTGTTCATTTTAATTCCCTCGAAGACATGCTCGGCGTTAAGGCTTTATATATACCAGGCTAAACATACCATTTGTCTTTATTCATGAGGATTCTGTCCCACATATCCTGTGGGAGTCCACAATTATTCTTTTACTTTTAGGGGGCAACAAGCGTCTGAGCTGCATGTATTTATTAATTTGGATTTTCGGGTCTTCTATCTGTTGAGAACTCGCAATGTTACCAACAGAGAACAAATGACATCAAATGATCTAGGCGTTAGAAAGGATATGGAGAGCACTCCCTTGGTTACAGTGCCGTGGGACGGTTAGAGGATTTACAAAACGGATTTCCCTTTAGCTATATTTATTATGATACATATGCCACGGCATGTGAGAATGCTGCAAATATCGGACATTCATATGCGCCTGTCTATTAAACTGAACGGCATTATTCACACTGATTCCCAGCTGCCAATCCGTACAGGCGAGTCACTAAGAATCTCTCCATCAATTGTCAACGCTACGCCATGGGACCCTATACTTTCTATCAGCATCCACAGACCGTCTTTTCGTATGCGCTTAGGCTCCATGTCAAACTGGGGGGTGCGTATTGTACTCCTGGGATCTTGGAATTCGTTGTCACCAGAGACTGCTATTGTGACTTGTTCTGGTCCCCAGCCGTGAACGACCGACACACGAACCATCTGGGACGATGGTGGCTGCATCTTGCTACCAAGTTGTGACGTAGCACTGCTGTGTAGAGACACGCTTGCCCTTGTTAACCAAGACACGTTAACTGGTAAACGGAATCGCTCATCTCCTTCTGCCAAGTGAACATGTGGTAATTTCGTCAGGAGGCTACCTGCACCATCTGCCGGTATAGGAGCAATAGTGGTTGGTACCATCGACGCGACTCGCACAGAAAAGTTGCCCAACTGGCTCGCCTCAAAAGTAGAACAGACAAGAGTGTAAACTCCTGGCTCAAGCATCGCAATATCTGCCACAGCACAGCCACGACGATATTCCCCCGAGGAAGCTACCAAATCTTTTACCCTCACAGCTGTTACCCGACGGCCCTGCGCCCATATAAGATCCACATGAACGTGAATGTCGTTAGCATCGGCGCAGAGGAGGATGGAAAGTGGACTTGAGCTTTTAACGGAGAGCCTATACTGAGGATTTTGAAAGAAAGTTCCACATGATGCGTTGCCACCGGCGGTTCTCCTCGTCCAGGCTCCAAGCTGCTCAGTGAAATGTGACATGCTCTCTAAAGCTTCTCCCACCTCAAGCGGGCTGTGCGAAAATAGAGACATTGTAAAATTATAACGAGGCAAAGGGAGCTCGTGTTGATCAACCACGATTGTGTACGGCTGTCCAGGTCTGGTATCGAGGCGGGCTAGCGTTTGATGTGAATCGACGTACGGACCCCGGTAGATTTCGCCGCCACAAATTTGAAGCTTTTTCCCATCATTCTCGAAGACTGATATGCTCATGAAACCGAGTTGACGGGCCGCAGCAGCCATCGAGTCTCGCCTCTCACGAGCAATATCCAGCTCAGCATCGACGAAGTGGCGACTGACAAGGACCCAAATGGTGCCGGCACTAGGTGAGGTGACGGAAAATTGGGGGTTTCTGGACAACGATGCGCCGTATACCTTGGCGGGGAGTTCCCATGAAAAGTGGTGGTCCTTGCGACAGGCAAACAACGCTGGGTTCCAGTTGAGATACATGGATTCAAAGTGCTGCGCGACATCCTCGAATGCCACCCACAGTCTGCTACTAGAATTTGGGTCATGTGCCAACCTTTCTGTTGATAGGCCGGTGTTGGGCGGCTTGATGAGAGTGGAGGATGCAGAGCCTAACCACCCCAGTGCTGTCATAGATGGGGCGTCACACCAAGGGTTTTTAATCAATAGTCGCCGACTGGAGCCAGAAGTGTCAAGGTTCTCGACGGCATAGTCGTGTTCCCCGATCAAGCCCATTACCTCCTCCTCCTCGGCTGATATCCGACCAGTCCCCAGAGTTATCACCACATCTCCCGACTTGTGAGCGGCTTGTATTCGCTCCCAGATGTTCTCGAGGTCGATGTCCTCTCTTTTCAAGAATTAGTAAACGTATTCATGTAGTAAATTACCGAGGAATTTGCGTTAGCAGGATCATAAAGGTCACCTTTGTAAAAAGAGTTGCTCCGGGATCCACCCTATGAGAACCCATAAATCTGTGCCTGAATTGCTTCCTGGAAAATCGTAGCCGCCCCTGACCTTGAGATACGCTTTCTCAAGCAGAGCTGGCCACAGGAGATATGGGTTCTGCCTGTCAACCACGAATAGAGCCCGGTTTGTTCGGGATGAGGGTAATCTGTCGTCAACTACGACTTTGCGGGCACATCCGTTGAAGTTCAGCTTCATCACATACTTTCCTGAAGGGGATAGTTTCGGTTTATCGTTTGCAAGATCATAAGGATGCAGAATTGAAGAAAGCACCTATCGCCAGCAAGGGTGAAGTTTTGTGATTAGCACAGCACATCAGCAATTGTGGCAGCTTCAGCCTTCGATGACATTCTTACCGAGTGCTTCCCCGTTAGTACATTGAAGGCCGCCGAAAGACTAGCAACTACAGAGCAGTCCGTCGTGATGTCTTGCATCAAATCGGTATGGTCAGAAACCTGCATCATAGCATCTTCACAGGCCGCTCTATCATTTTGTTGAATCAAGTTGAATAACTTTTCCGGCCTCACCCACGCCGCAAAGTTGTCGCTTTGGTTTGCGGATAAACAGAAATCTGTATCATCTCTAAGACCAAGGATGGTTGTCAGTCAAGCAGTTACGGTATATCGTGTTAGTTGTAGCAACAGGAGTGAACTCACGTAAATGGATCCTGGCCTGGCAAAAGTTCAAACTCGTCAATCCCGGGGCCCTCTTGCCAGATGGGAAAGTCATTTCCATGGAGCTTTGAACCTAGTCGCAAGATGGATGCCGACGTCGATTCGGACAGCGACGGCCGCGTGGCAGGCAATTCTGCAGGCTTTGCTCCTCCACCAAGAGCAGCCTTGAGCTTTTCAGCATATGTAATCATCTCCCGGCACTTTCGTCTAAAACGAACGGCGTCCGGTTGGCTACCAGCCTCTCCTGCGGCTCTCATGTATAACTCAGCAGCTTTGATAGCATTGTTCAGCGCATCTTTGCCTGCGGCCCCAGTCGCTAGAGATTCTGCGGCCTGTCCAGGTGATTGAACAAATTAGTCTTCTCCGACTCGATTTGGCGCGGTTACGCATGATAAGAGGATGACAAGCCATCATGGAACGAGCTGCTAGTTGAGGAGTGCTTTCAACTGAGCAACAACAACTTACCTGCGCTCTCCTCTCCATGGCGAGCCAATATTTCATACATCAGTTTACCATTGCGGAGGTAGAATGCTGACGGAGTTCCTTGGCTTCAAAGGCTCCTCAGGTAGAGTGACAAAAGACAAGCTCCGAGACTGGAAGCCTAGCCACCTTGTCGAATATTGAAGCATAGGACTTGAGCTAGAGTAGGCCAAGGGGTGCAAACAAAGCTCCATGTCGTCGTGAGCAAAATGACGGTGATGGCGGGGGCAGGTGTAAGTGGGGCAGCTTCAAGCTCGCAAGATGTCATCAGTGGAGCTGGCCCATTACTTCAGCGCATGTGCACCCAGTGGAGGAACGTGTCGCATCAGAGTGTTACAGTGTCGCGCGCATCTTGATAAGCAGTACGCCGTCAGAATATGGTGATCCTGATATGCTAAACTTCGAAATATTATGGCATGGGCTTTACTGCAAATATGAAGCCATAATCGACTAGCATGTACTGAGGTAGAACACACACGGCCTTAATGTATCCACAGAGCAGACCTACCTACCTGAATACCGTACATACTTGTAGGCAGGTACGTTGGAAGGCCTTAATGACGTGTTTCGGGTGATTGCTTCTAAATCTCCTTGGACCGAACTTATTGGTAGCGGCTGTTGGGAGGGCAACGCTGGCAGTTGGCATGTGTGGCTATCGAGGGCTTTTTATCAAGAGTCTGGTGTGCTTCATGATTAGACATGCACAAAACACCAACTTTCTCGGCAGGGCACCTGACTAACAATTTCATTTCGAGCATGCTTATATCCCGCCCAAGATTTTTGCACACCGCAGAATATCATTTGAATAGATTGCGACACTTGAACCACATGTGCAGACCGGAGAGGTTGCAGAAGCTCGAGGTCAGTAACTAACTTCATTGTAGGCACCAAACTGCATCCCAAGTAACCAGTACTTGGCGGCGCTAGGCTACATATGTACTTACTTGAGAACCGAGGTTGAATGTTCCGCACCATGCACTTGTGGGTCACCAGGTTTAGTACCGGTGCGCTTCACCTGGCACAGGCTAAAAGCCGCAAGACCGAGGTCCAAAGAGACCGCCTAATCCGTCGGCCGGCGAAACGGCCAAGAACAAGATATTATCCCGGCATAGACGTCAATGGTGTCACTCCGTCCACTCCGTTCGGGTAGTGCCATCAATGGTTTTCCTCGACCAATTCTCGCTGAACGAAAATAACGATCCTCGACTTCGCTCTGGTGCCGGTCTCTTGGTATGCTCTAGTATCCCCGCTGCAATATCACTTGCTTCATCACAGTGTGCGCATAGTGCCGGATTTACCAACTACCTGGGCACCTGGTTGTTAACTTGTTCAAGATTAACCAAACGACACGACCCATTCAACGTCCACGTCTTTCTGTTCCAGCGCAATCTCACCATGGGAGCGCAGTCGAAACCCGAGATTTCGGCCTGGGCCCGCGCGTCGGCAGGAGCTACGGGAGCTGTCCTTGCCAACGCCCTGGTATACCCTCTGGATATGTACGCCCGCCCAATTGCAACGTGCTGTCTGGTCGTAACAGTGATAATGTTGCTAATTCCAAATTGATGAGATAGTGTTAAGACCAGGCTCCAAGTGCAAGTTCGCCAAGACAAGGCGTCATCCGACTCGGGCAGTCCGCATTACACATCAACTTGGGATGCAATTTCACGAATAGTGGCAGACGATGGAATTCAGGGCTTGTATGCTGGCATAAATGGTTCCCTTATCGGTGTCGCGTCAACAAACTTTGCATACTTCTACTGGTATACGATTGCTAGGTCCTTGTATGCTAAAGCAAACAAGACTCCCGGTCCACCGCCGTCGATGGCCGTGGAGCTCGCTCTCGGGGCCGTTGCCGGTGCTCTCGCACAACTCTTCACAATTCCTGTGGCTGTAGTAACAACGCGCCAGCAAACGGCGCGAGCTGATGAGCGTAAGGGTCTTTTGGCCACAGCTCGAGAAGTTGTTGAAGGCCCAGATGGCGTGCCCGGATTATGGCGTGGGCTCAAGGCCAGCTTGGTGCTTGTTGTCAACCCTGCCATCACATACGGAGCGTACGAACGACTCAGGACCGTTCTTTTCAACGGCAAATCCACTTTGCGGCCGTGGGAGGCATTCAGTATGTAGGCAAACTTATTCTTCGCACCGCAACTGCACAGTGCTAACTAGTCGACACTCTGTAGTTCTGGGGGCTCTGTCTAAGGCATTGGCAACCATCGCTACCCAGCCTCTAATCGTCGCCAAAGTCGGTCTGCAATCAAGGGCCCCACCGGCGAGGAAAGGCAAGCCGTTCAAGAGCTTTATCGAAGTTATGCAGTTCATCATCGAAAATGAGGGACCTCTTTCACTTTTCAAAGGCATTGGACCTCAGATTTTCAAAGGCTTTCTCGTTCAGGGCATTCTGATGATGACAAAGGAGAGGTATGTGGGCGACACAAATCCGACAATCAGCCATTGCAAATAGAACATGGAGCTAACCAGGAAAACAGGGTGGAGCTCTTGTTCGTCTTATTCCTGCGATACTTGCAATCTCTTCGATCAACTCAGCTACGCAAGGCTTCGGATATTGCATCTTTGGCGGCGCAGCACACTTCTCTTCATGTTTCGAAGCCACTTGCAACGTCGTAACAGATATGGGAGAGACGACTGTTTGGTCAAAAACAAATCTAGATTATCATATCACTGCGTATTTTCTCTGCGTATTTTCTCTGCGCATTTGTACACGTTTAGTTAGACCTTCTGCCTGAGATTTCTGCATTCCACGGTATAATACGACGTTTGAGGGTAAAGTGTAGTTGCTTTTGCCGTCGAGAAGCATTGTCCAACGCTTAGGGGATTATGCATTACGCAGCAATTCAAGGCTTGAATAGCGCGGAGAGTTACGTACAATGCCTCGCAATTGCGAATCCTCGAATTCACAAGCTATTGATGATGAAGATCTCGTTTCTCTATTAAAAGGAACTCGAGAACACAAATGCTACCTACCGAGTATCTACATACGTAGGTGCCTCTACATAATCCAGCTCTGGAGATGCGAAAGCAAACAGATTACGTGAGAATACTGAAAGACTCGTCATGTCAAGACGGGGCCTGTCCACCCTCCACCCAACTTCGTAGCACGGAGGTGGAGCCCTTGTCCAGGCTTCTATTATGTCAGCAAAGCGGGCCACTAGCACATCGTCTAGGGCTTGTAGCATCACACACTTTTTTCGCAACCTAATTTGGAACTATCACGAGGTCATCCTTGACAACAGACATCTGGGAAGCAGCCATGGCGAGTAAGTGAAGCGACAGCTTTTGTCCTTGGTATACTGTCTACTGATACTCGATGGATAGAGTCAAAGAATTCCTCGCAGCACAATCAGTGGCGCAAGGCCCACCGCAACGGGTTCGCCAAATCTCGACGAAATTGTGATTGCAAAATACTAACGGATTGCAGCATCAAGAAGCCCAAGACTTCGAGGTACCCCTCTCTGAAGGGTACAGACCCCAAGTTTCGACGAAACCACCGCCATGCTCTCCACGGTACCGCTAAAGCATTGGTATGCAATACTTTGCCGATATAACGAATCTATAATTCGAAACTGACCAATGGAACAGAAGGAAGCGAAGGAGGGCAAGCGAGAAGTTGTGTGAGGATATATGATCACGGCTGGGTCGTTGTGGTCACTGAACGTGCTGGATTACCCCGGGAGGTCAAGCGGCAGTTGATACAGGCATCGAATGGAAATGCTACTCATGCTTATCGTCCATCTCAGAGGACGTAGTCGATACACAAATAAAACTACCATTGCAAATCCTCGAAGGCGCCATGTAGCTATATTTGTATGGACTCAATGTTGCCCGGGAAGATGATTTCGTCTCGCCGGTATCACTTGGTGGTTATGCGTGGCACGCGCAATCTAAGCCTCAATGTGTTGGGGGGCGCATCCAGTGATGCCGCTACATGTTTGTAGTGTAGGCTGTTAGTGGCGCTCTAGGTCGAACGTCCAAACGCGTCCTGGACCTCAACCAGTCACTAAATAAGTCAAGTTGCTTCAACGGCCAGAATCCCAGTAAAGTCTGGGGCATGGATCTGGACTATCTCGCAAATACAAATTGGACGCAATGAGAACCCCCCCTCCTCCTCTCCAAGCAAAGAAAGAAAGAAGAATAAATAAAATAAATGAAACAGAAAAAAGTGGTTGCCAGTAATTGTGTCGCGATGAGCATAAGGAGGCTATTGTGGGTCCTACTGCACTCTTGCTGCCGGTTCTGCGTCTCTTCAACCTCTCATCCCGTCTCTTCCTCTATATTTTGCATGCTTATTAGTCTCGCAGCACTGGAGGAGCATCAGGCAGCCCTTTCTATCGCATTACAATCGTCAGCCAAGCTTTGACGATTCCAACCCTTTCGATCCATTTACGTACGAAGCTAAACAAGTGTGCATCAATGAATGCACAGTCTATATCTTTGTAGGGAGGACACGAACACTTTAGATGGTTTGCCACACGGGAGATTGGCACTGTCATGAGGCTGAAACAGACAATGGTTGAACTTTGAACATGCTAAATATAAACGCCGAAAAGCGAGATAAGGTATGGACTAGGATATGTACTGATGATCCCTAAATAGGCCAGTCGATATAAAAGCGTCGGGTGCACAGGGAACTTTTTGCTCGATAGATTCATTTGATAGTCTTCTTCCCTGTCAGATATACGTTTATTCGTCCTTGTCAATGAAGCTAGGAAGCACCGCTGCCCAGCCAATCAACGCCTGTTGTGGCCCCAGATTTCGGGTCCCTCGTCGTTCGGGCCTCTGGCGCCCAGCCCCTCTGCCTGTGCCTTTCATTACCTAAGGCGCTTGAGCCCCCGTCCAGGGTTTATGGTGCATCAGAGCAGGAACTTGGAACCCACCCTCAACCAGACGACTGACCAGAGTGCTTCATGCCAGCACCTCTTTCCTGCCACAACATCACCAACAGGGCTCTGGTCCGCACGCCACGCGGCAGAATCTATCACTTCTTTTACTTTGCCTGCCTGGAAGCAGACGGACACAACGTGTATTTCATTAATCACCTGTGGGCACGCTCTTTCTGTTCTTTGTGGTAAGTATCTTTCAGACACTTGAAGTGAGCGTTCGTCCTGGCCCAACCCCAACAAAAGGGTTTGCTCCTGTGATCAACTCAACCGTCCCTGGGCATACTCTCTCTTCAAGGAATGAAGTTGACAGATCCTCAGCTCGACCTGTGTTTCTTCTGCTGGAACATGCAGTAACTTGCTGGTTCTTGTCTAAACTCCTTTGAGGTCAGCCGGTCACTGCAGGAGTCTACGCAAGCCTCTCTCCGGACCCTGATCCAAGCCTGATATTCACGCCGGCTCGTTTCATTCTTTAGGCTTATACTTGACGACCAAATATTTCTCAACATGTCCGGTAATAACATCATTGGAAATCGAAATAGTACCCCAGAGGCCAATAGTACCTCGACGCTACGCCCACCCTCGGCGAGGGCAATTGGGTCAGGAAGCTCCCTTCGAGCCTCTGCCGACATGACTCTCCTCGCAGGCTCATCTTCTGTTAATCGTATCCGGCCCTCCTCCGATTTCTACGGCCAGGCTCAGCAAGGGCATGGTCAGGGGAACGCAGAAAATGACTCTCAAGATAAAATCGCACAGCAATGGATTGCCGACATTGACCAGTATGAGACAACTTTGGAAGAAATGGCTGCCGCAACTTTGGACCAGGACTTCAAGGATGAGTTGAGTGCTATAGAGCAGTGGTTTCGGGTCTTGAGCGAGGCAGAGCGGACTGCCGCCTTGTACGCTCTCTTACAACAAACTACTCAAGTACAGATTCGCTTCTTCATTCAAGTGCTTCAACAGATGGGGAAAAACCACCCTATGTCTGGTGTATTGTCGCCTGCAAACTTTGACAAAGGTAGGTTGCCGTTTTGCCAACCTCCTGAAATCTAGCCTGGGTCTCTAACTGATTGCAGACCCAATGTCCAATCGCCTCAGCGACGCTATGAATAAGTTAAATGTTGATTCGCCCCGAAACTCCTTCTCGCGAAACTCAACCGTAGCTTCCACTAAGCGAAACTCCGGCCTCGATCCTTCGACCATTAATGCTATGTTTCCTGACGCTGCGGCAGCGATAGCAACAGAGAAAGCAAAATTCACCCAGCAAACTGGAAACCCCCCATCCTCGAACCGCAACTCCGCCGCCATCGATGCCCGCATGTCTATCTCAGGTGGACAAGAAGCCCGTGATGTTGGCGCGCCGAACCCAGCTTCCCCATGGGGTGCCGGCGCTGCAACTGAGCCGTCAGCTGCCAAAGGAAATACATCACAGGTGCCAATGGGCCAGTTTGTGCAGCCACCGCCTTCGGGCGGCCTTAGGTCCCCACGGCCACAGATGACTGGTAGTTCTCCTTTACAAAGCACCACACTTAATGCTCCCGAGAAGAATCCCTCTGATCTGCCTTTATTATCCCCATATCAGTCGGGTAGCGGAAATTGGGCATCCATGGTGAATACTCCAATGGCGCCGACGTTCAATGCAGCCACTACCGGTGGCAAGCAAGCCGATATGATGGCAAATGCCACCGTCATGAAACTTGCTGCACTCTCAACCGTCAACAATCGTATTGCCTTGGATGACGTACGCAAATACCGCCGTACCAGATCTAACGACGCACCGGGCAGCACCCACGCTCAGGTGTCGCCTCCCAGCCAGGCTGTAAACCTGCCGGGTACCAATGTAGTGATGATCAATGAGCACGGTCAGGTTTTGAACCATGAGCAAGTGTTGGCCATGCAAGCGCAGCAGAGTATTGGGCTTGGAGGGCAAAGATCCCGCCCTAGCTCTCCTGGTCTAGCGATGCATCAGACATTGGGGCCTGTGCCGCATTTTACTTCCCCACAACACAACGGTTTTTTGAGCGCCTACGATGGCTCGTCTGGCCTGTTGGGCACTGGTATTCCAGCCGTAAGTTTAGGCCAGCTAGGTATGACTGGTCACGAAGGTTACTTGTCCGATCATTCCGATATAGTACGAGGTCGTTCACCTAGAGGTCGACGGGGTAGTTCCAAGGCACCAGAAGATCCGGCCGATCCAACGCTACTTCAGGACATTCCAAGTTGGCTCCGCAGCCTTCGATTGCATAAATACACAGAAAACCTGAGAGACATGAAATGGACAGAACTGATTGAACTCGATGATAAGGCGCTAGAAGATCGAGGCGTCAATGCACTAGGTGCACGAAGAAAGATGCTCAAGGTCTTTGAGCAAGTCAAAGGTATTTATTTCATACCCCAGTAATAACTAAACGATTGCGGTGACCTGACGCAAAATGTAGAAGCAAAAGCCGAAGGCAGGCTATGAGAATGCAAATTCACAGATCAGTGCTGCTGACTGGCAAGTAGTGAAATGATAACTAAGTGGTTAGAATTGCAAATCTATCCAATAAACGAACTAGAATTGGCATTTTTCTTTCCCGGAAAGGGTGATGGCACACAGTGAATATACGTTGTTATTCTTGCTGAAAATTAACTGGCGTTGCAATTTTTTTTCAGGCACCTGATATAAAGGGCATTCATTCAATGAAATTGTGTACTCGTATCAGCAACCTAGAGAGTAGACGTGACAAAGTGCTTATCAATGCATGTAAGCTGTTAGTTCTCGAGATTAGTACACACTTATTAAGTTACCAACTTACCTAGGTAGGTCGGCAGTGACTATATCTGGCTGGACCTCTGCAAGTCCTGCTGGCTTTTTACAACAACTGCGTCCGCGAGCTATTCCAGCTTCTGAAGATTGCGCTGACTAACAAGTGTGGCTTTGGAGAGACCCACCGAAGTACATCCATGGGCATGAATTCAAACTAGAGATCTCTCCAACGTCCGTATAATACCTTGAAAACAAGCACTCAGCACCCCCAGCAAGACTAAGCTGTCACTGGTTTTGATGCACCCACGACATGACGGTCTATGTCTTATAATCTATAACGGACCTACGGTTTAGCTGATATTGGGACTCGTGTTTGCACTTGTTATTCACTAGGAAACCAAGGTTGTTTAGTGGGGTGTACTCCGTACCACGCATTTTCCACGAGGTCGTGGGCTCGGTCGGGAGGGTGGAAAGGGGGTAGCAATATGATCTACAACTCGCAAAAAGTTTCACTACACGAAAGCCATGGAAAATAGTCCGCCTCCGAGGTAAACTATGCCATTTAATTCTTAGTACTGTTGCTTGGCTAACTGATGTGACCAAGGACCCTCGATGAGGTGTCAGACGCGGATTCTGACCTTGAGGAGCTTCAAGGTGATATCGCAAAGTTTGATGAATCCGTCAGAGAATTCCTCGCGTCACATAGAGGAACAGTAGATGTTCCCAGACTATCGCGTGGTACATCCAGGGGCAGAGCGCCGCGAGGTCCGCGTAAAGCAGCGAAGCCAAGAGGCGACATCACGGCCAGGCTCTCTAAGGTTAATCAGGCTTTTTTAAGTGGTGACTATGAACAAGCCATGGACCTTGCTTTCGAGGTCATCAGGATCAACGCGGAAACACATCAAGCTTGGACGGCTCTCTCTTCGATTTTTAGAGAGCGCGGTGAAATGGACAGAGCTTTATCAGCAATGGTATACGCAGCTCATCTTCGGCCAAAGGATGTATCTGAGTGGCTCAGATGCGCCTCATTTGCATTGGATTCCATTACTGGTGAAGATGATGAGCCCGGAAACCTGCACACCGCTCGACTCTGCTATTCAGCAGCTCTCAGAGCAGATCCTACAAATTTTGAAGCTCGTCTCAACAAAGCTGATGTATGTCATAGACAAGGCCACCTCTCTGCTGCCATCACGGAGTATAATACTGTTCTCAAACGACGTCCATACGATCTTAATACCATACGGAAACTTGCTGAGGCATGCATCGACTCGAAAAACGCAGCAACTTTGGTGCCTTCCGCCATAAATGCGTATCGACATTATTTTGACCATGCAATGAGCGAAATGCAGCTTGAAGCTCAAGATATGCTCTGGCACGATGTTGGAATCTATGTGGGACTCCTTGCCCAGGTGGAACGAGTTCAAGAAGCGATTTCAGAGCTGAAACGACTTTCAAGATGGCTTCTTGGACGCTCTGCCGAAACGTTTTGGGACAACTGGCGAGACGACGACAGAGAATGGGACATATTGGACAACCGGCGTGCATCTGTTCCAGAATTCTCTCATCTTGGCAACAACTCGACACAATTTGGTCAGTCCCTGCCCTTGGACCTCCGCGTCCGACTGGCGACATATCGACTTAGGAACGGTGATCATTCAGAGGCCATGGTAGGTATACCATCCCCCTTCATGACTTCCGGTTCCTATCAGTGTCGTTAACCAAGGTCCTCAGAAACACTTGGATCACTTGGACCCAGCCGATCCATCCACCAAAGCTTTTGCTGGCGACTTTACGTTCTTGATATACGACCTGGGTGTGGAACTGGGCAAAAATGGCCAAGCATCAAGGGCAATCCGGTACTTTGAACTGTTGCGCTCTATGTCTGGGGACCCTGACGCTGCGGTCTTATTGCAGCTAGGCCGATGCTACCTGGGTACTGGAGAGTCTGCAATGGCTGAGGAGTACTTATTGGCCGCGCTAGATGCGGAGGAAGACAATATAGATGCTCGCATTGAACTTGCAAATATGTACGAGAAAGCTCGAGAGGATGAGGAAGCTTTGATATTGGCGGCTGAAGCTTTGGCTCTTCGTGGAGTCCAAGACCAGGATCATCCCATCGAGGATGCTGGCATAGCCAAGGTCCGAATCCGACCCTCCCGCAGCCGTAGGCAACGAGCCTCACAAGGACGATTTCAAGGGGGTGGTAACGCAGACAGATCAAATTTGATGGGTAATGGAACCAGGCGGCCAGCCATTCCTAGAAGACATCGGTCAAAAAAGCTTGCTGGCCCTGACAGACGTCAACAGGACGAACAAATACGTGCTCTCAAACTTTCTCAACAGTATGCTATTGTGCGGGATCTAAAACAACGCATTTCAGAAGGCCATAAGGAGTTAATACCTGCTTGGATGGCATCTTCCAAGGAACTAGTCGATGACTTCAGGTCTCTGAAGCGATTCTACAGTTGGGACAACTATTTGCGCTTTCTCGGGTCGAAAGTCTTATTGCATAAGTCAAGCGCAAACCAGCCAGAGACCGAACTCTCCCAAATGTACCAAAGATTGACGCGTTGTAAGTGACCAAACACGAACAATATGTTTGAGCCACTCATTCTATTAATTTGTTTCATGCAAGCTTATGCTAACACAATAACCATCGAAGCAATCGCTCCACCATCTGAGCAATCCAGCCACACATCGGCTATTCCTAATCTTGCAACACATCAAGGCATTTCATTCGATGATTGGTTGGATTTATTTCTCGACTATGCTATTGGTTTGGCAATTGCTCATCGGCGACAAGAAGCGTACCAAGTTTGTGAGGCCGCCAAAGACTCTACAGTTTTTCAATCTTCAAAGCACGGATTCATCATTCATGTGGCATGGAGCGGTAAGGTGATTTTAAGCCCGTAGTGGGATACGCAACGCTGACCAGAACGAGTATGTGCAATCTACACCAACGACGAGGAACGGTGTGTAGCAATTGCCCGGCATTTGATGCGCGATGGGGCGACCACCGATTCTTATCGAATGTTCGCCTTACTATCTATGCTTTGCCAGTCACCTGCGTCTTGGTATACATCAGGACCAGCGCAAAAGTATATTCTGCGCCAAATAAAAGCCATTGATGTCAGCCATGAGACCGCGGCTGTGCGCCGGGGAGGTACAGGGGAGAGCGAAGAGGCAGGTGATCCTACTAGTTTGGACATCGACATATGCCTTTTGATGCTCTATGGTCATATTCTTTTCACTTCCACTAGTTATTCTTACTCATTGGGTATGCATGGTTCTTAGGGGAAGAGGTGCGGACAGACGACGAGGCTAATTTTGACTACCGCAGGTTACTTCCTTCGGGCACGCTCACTAGATCCCAGTAATGCCATGGTAAATCTCAGTCTCGGGCTAGCCTATGTGCACTACGGGTTGAAGAGACAGTCAAGCAACCGTCAGTATCTGATTTTGCAAGGCCAGTCATTTTTGTCGCTGTATGCTCGACAAGATACGAATGGTGATGACTACGCATTGGCTGAACGTTACTATAATATGGGTCGCCTTTTCCAGCTGCTTGGACTTGGTTATCTGAGCTCAGCTTATTATGCCATGGCTCTAGATATATGTAAAAATGGAGGAGGCTCCAAGGATCTCTCAGCTCTCATTTTGGCGAACACCCTTATCTCACTACTGACTGTTGGAAACAACGATGTTGCTTTATCGGTACTTAGAAGCAATTTGAAACTCTAAAGCTTTTGTCCGAATACGAGGAGCACTCTTTGAGTGCGAGACTTCTGGTCCCCAAATGAATCACAACATATAAGGCTACCTGTCCACACGAAATTGGTAAGAAAAGTGACCAACTCAATGATGACAAGTTAGAGGACGGCCATGAAGAATATGGTGCTATAAAATCTGCTGTTTCCCGCCTCTCATCCATTTTCGCCTTCCGCCAAATACCTCTGCCCACTTGCAATTCTTGCTCAGCATGTCCGTCACAAATTCACCGTTCACTGGCTCATTAGCCCCCAGTTTCACATTGTCCTCTCTACACGCATCTGTCACTCACTCTTGCTGACGGAATTAGTCTATTGAGACTAGCGTCGAGCTACCTTGTACGAAACTACGTCACACTCAACACATCAATGAAGCAGCCAGACGGGCAACTAGACAGGCACGTTTACCACTACCATTATTTATGAAGCGCCGCTTGTTGCATAGGGACAGTCTAGTGTGACTACTTTTTCTCTATTGTTCTATCAAGAGCAAGAAACCTAGATCTGACTCAGCCATTGCATCCGACTAGCCGCTGCGTGGTGGGCCGAGGGCGCGTAATTAGAAAAGTCTTAGAAAGATATGCAGTCGCCGGGGGGTTGCATAGTAGTCACAATTTGGCTCAAGGACCGATCCTAAAATTATAAAATTATAGGCGACATGATAACTATTATGCAAGTAGAAGGGGTGGAGCTATTTCCGGTTGCGTCACGTACTAGTACGTACATAGAGTCAGGTACGAGTACCCTTGCCTGGTATGTCAATTTGGTGGCTTGCATGTCTGAGTTCCACTCGCCGATCGGCTCAACACCATCTTCCTCAACACCAAACCGAGTTGCTGGAGGACGCCAGATAATGGACGGCGTTCATAAATACGCATCACTATGGTACGCGCCGCAATTTTCCCTCGAAGCTTAGCCGCAGCCATCCTCCTCGCCTTTGGGATAACCAGCGCGATTGATGAGCCCCAGGCCCCGCGAGGAGCCAATGTCACTGGTAGCGTTCCTCTGTCTGTCGACCCACGAAGCACGCTTGAAGTCTGCGAGGCCAGGACGATCAACTACATTACACATGCCTTGCCCCAGTCATGCCTCACAAGCTCCTGGAGGAGTCCAGCTCCTACGTCTACTGCACCTGCAGTCTCACAACATGGAAGAGGCAATGGGTCAGATCATGGAGCCGAAAACCAACCATCACGGCCTCCAACGCCGACATTAGATCACAATGTCACCGAAGTGCAGGTCACGGAACCAGCCGCGACGACGTTTATGTCATTCGAGGACTGGAAGGAAATGATGCTCCGGCGGGCCGGGCAAGATCCTCAGGACCTGCGGTCTCGAAAACCGAGCGAGCACAACACTGATGACAGATACTCTCCGGAATCCGGTCACGCCGGCCTCGGGGAAGAGGGCGAAATATCCCTCAACTTCGACGATTATGGCAAGGGAGACCACCAAAAGCTTGCGTCTCACAGATCCTCCCGCGGTGACGGTGTTGATGAGCAGCCCGCCGCCGGTGATGCGTTGCTATATGAGGAAGGCAAAGCAGCTACTGTGCATCTGAGTAAGGATGCGGGTAAAACTTGCAAAGAGCGGTTTTCTTACTCGTCTTTTGATGCCGGTGCGACTATATTAAAGACTTCGCCTGGAGCTAAGAATGCCAGAGCGATCTTGGTCGAAAACAAGGACACGTACATGCTTCTGGAGTGTGACGCCGCTTCAAAATACGTCATCATCGAGCTGAGCGACGACATTTCGGTGGACACGGTTGTTTTGGCCAATTTCGAGTTCTTTTCAAGCATGGTACGCCATTTTCGCGTCAGTGTAAGCGACCGATATCCTGTCAAGATGGATAAGTGGCGTGAGCTCGGGACGTTTGAGGCGCGAAACTCTCGCGATATTCAACCCTTCTTGGTTCAAAATCCACAAATCTGGGCCAAATATGTCAGGGTCGAGTTCTTAACCCATTTTGGTAACGAATATTATTGTCCCATTTCGCTCCTACGAATTCATGGGTCCCGCATGCTCGATTCGTGGAAAGATAGCGAGGGCGGTCGGGACGAGGAGGCATTGATTGATGGTGATGAATCCGGTGGAACTGATACCCGCCAAGACGAACATCAAGTAGCTGCTGCTGCAGCATCGAGAGATCCTAATGTGTTTATGACGGTATCGAATGGTACGAGTGCAAGGAGCTTGAGTTACGCCTTGGACATGTTCACAAACGTGGACGCTACCTGCCCTGCATCGTCTTCAGCAGGGGCCAATTCCTCAATCACGGATCCGAAGTTGTCGTCAGTTGGCCTTGGGACATCGCAAGAATCAGACCTGGTCTCCAGTGACGTACCACAGGCTCGTTCCGCATCTCTTGATAATTCTGGCGATTCATCGATTGCACAGGCGAAAACCAGTTTGACCACGGCGTCCATGAATTATTCAACCCTCATCTCCATATCACAGGATGACCGCATGCGCAATCACACCGGGGCTCTAAATGGAGCTGCTTCAAATGTTAACACAACGACGATCGACCGCGAACACAATGCCGCAACCCCAACTGCTAAGTTATCGGCATCGAGTGGTCAGAATGGTAAACCACGAAGTAGCGGGACTACAGGCGCCTCAGCTGCATCTCCGACTATGCAAGAGGGCTTTTTCAATGCCATCACAAAACGACTCCAGCATGTCGAGTCGAATTTAACTCTTTCCATGAAGTATGTCGAGGATCAATCTAAACATATCCAGGAAGCATTGCAATCGAGAGAGCAGAGGCAACATGCAAAAATAAACTACTTTTTAGATGAATTGAACAAAACGGTCCTGGCCGAGCTCCATACTGTTCGCGAGCAATACGACCAAATATGGCAATCCACTGTTCTAGCTTTAGAGAGCCAAAGAGACCGTTCAGAGAGAGATATGATGGCCCTTAGCTCAAGACTCAACCTCCTTGCGGATGAAGTGGTATTCCAGAAACGAATGGCTATCATTCAAGCCATAATCCTATTATCATGCCTCTTTCTCATTATATTTTCACGGGGGGTTTCACTTCCATCTCTAGCGCCATTGCTCGATCAACCCTCCAACTCACGTTGTGCAACACCAGCTTCGCCAGCAACACCGCGACAATCTTCATACCAATTGAGTAAGGGGCACCATAGAGAAGGCCAATCATCATTTAAGCCATCTGATCCTCCATGTCAGGTACAGATGCTTCATCCTGGCGAGGCTCGTAATAGCACTTCGGCTGAGGCGTTACCATTTGAAGCAGTGTCGTTCCAGGGCAGAGATGAACCAAAAAGCGAATGTTCTGCGTTTCAACGTCTCTCGCCACCACCTAGTCCCAATCTGCTAGGCGAAAGTTCGTTATCAAGTGACGCCAGTTCTGCAGTTGGGTCAAGTCATACTCTTCCTCGCCGCCTGGGAGGGACGTCACACATCAGCTCTCGAAAGCCTCTGCCCTCGCTACCGGAACACCCTCGCTCATCATACGGAGAGTAGGTCACCTCACAGTTCTCAATATTTGACAGCAAAGGTACAATTATAAATACGTAGTCTTAGCGTAATGGATCTGCATCTAGTCAGAAAGCATACGCAACGAGACGGCATCAATTTTGTGATCCGACATTCGCAAAATGATACAATGTGGCAATGAATAATGAAAGTTGTCTATTCCCGATATGTTTCTGTTCGGCATGAGCTTTTGGTGTGTGCATTACGCCCAACTTTGTCGCGATCTTTCTATCTTTGTCTTCGCTTGCCTTTTTGTGAAAAGGGGAAAGCGATTTCTTAATAAAACTTCCTCTTATTTACATAGATTATTATAAGAACAAAGGAGCGAATATCGTGATAAGCAAATGCATATTTTTTCAAATCCTCGCAAGTATTTTGATTTGAGATTGAGTGAGCGATACAATGGTCCCAGTGAGCATTCACCCGTCCTGTAACTGGAACCCGCTAACACCAAGGTTGTCAATGTGGTGTAATGGTGTACATATTTTGAATTGCAGCTTCGTAGTCGTATTCCTCGAGGGCGGCTAGCCTAGTTCCACGGTCATACTGAGATCGTCTGCGCCGCTGCTCGTCGCGATAGTGCTGGCCGGCATTAGGCGTGAAGAGACCTATAGATGAGTAAGGTATATAGATCCGGGCCCGGCCTACTCTGTTCTCGCAAAACTTACCAACATGCTCTGCATTCTCGCAGCTCCTCTTCATTTTAGATTGGTTGTCTGGGTCCGGGAATGGTTCTTCCTGGCCTGCCAACTCAGGACAAGGGCCATTGCAAGTAAAGTAGAGCTACGGTGTCATTTAGCGTCGCATACGCACTCTCTGCTCTGGTGTGGGATTTTCATATTACCTTTGGGCGATAATGCGGAGCCTCAAGCATGACGGAGCTGTTCCTGAACTTTTGGACTAAGCAGTCTTTGCCTTGGATGGCTGCATAACCATCTGTGAACAGTCTGCTTCTTAAGGAGACAGGACGGAAGATACTAACTAGCGTATGATATCTCGGCAATCTTGTCACTTTTAAAGCAGTTCCTGCGTATGGCATGTTAGCTAATAATCATGTTAACGATGCGGGAAAACGTGCCATCTCTGATTGCCTCTGGCCTCCACAAACTTTGTTCTCAGTTAGCTACCGTCAATTTCCTCTACTGTTTGAGCACTAACATCAATAATATCTAATGGCTAGCTTAAGTTTAGCATGGGCATTTCTCGTTACAGAAGCTCCCACCTACATCAACAAAATTAATGAATGCGTAGCCAACACTAAGAAGCAATTTTAGCACTTTTGTATTTGGTGCAAATGCGAGGACTCATCAGAAATCAAGTATGAACTTACTTGCAGTCATTCGCAAAATCTATGCGCAAGTACATAAAGTCGTACTTGCCCCAACTAGACTCGTCTATAATCCTCTTCAGCATAGCCTGGTCCACTTTATTGGGAATGTTTCGGAGCATTATCTTCGCCCGTTAGCTCCCGCGTCATAAATAACTCATTCATACGTACCGTAGTGCGAACGTCAATGCCATCTCGAATCCGGTTGATATCAACGTAATTGTGGTGGTTGGTAGAGTTATTGTATGGGGATCTAGTAACTCGGGCTGCGTTTTGTCTTCGGCCGTCAGATCGAAAAAAACCAGCCACTGCCCTGGATGGACTATAACTGCTTTGCACAGTTAGGGCTGGCGACGGAGGTGCATGGTACAAGGGGCCCAGCACTGGATAGGACGGAGCCAGGGTAGTGATCGGCGATACAGAACCTTGACTACTTCCCGGCGGAAGAGAGTCCAGAATATATGGTACATTTGCAACAAATGGCGACTGGACCATCAAAGGGTACATAGTGAACGGGTGGCTCACTCGCCCTTCTACCGGCACAACAGACCGCGAGGCCGAACCAATGTGCAAATGCTGATGCTGGGAATTGTTTTGTGTGTTTGCCCCAGTGACATTTTGAGTTGGCTTTGGGGACAACACAAAATTACTGTTATTTTCGTATGGCGAAATCACCAAATGCACTCCCTTTGGGTTCATCAGTATTTTCCACAGATTTTACAACATTATAGGGGAGCATACCTCAGGTGTGGTAACATGAGCGCAGTTGGCTATCACCTTTGTGGCATGAGATATGTCGCAAAATTCTGCAATAGCTCTGAAAGAAGGAGTTTTTGACGGATTTGGAATTTTAATAAAGGCAAATAAACGCCCGTACGAATGGAGAAAGTTCTGTGCGATGTCGAATATCTGACCAACATCAAGGCTGATACTGGGGGAGATGGTAGCTACCAGAAAAATCTGACCAGTGTTCAAAGCGGGAGATTCAGTTTCCGAGCCAGGGTTTTGCTACAAATAGACCATTAACCACGAGGAATCCGCATAGGGAGGGGCAGGAGAAAGGATTCTTACCCGATCTCTGCAAAGAGCACCACAATATTCAACTTTCCAGCTTTTCCTAGACGTCAAAGTAGTTGCAAGCGTGGAGCAAGCGTCCCGTATATCTCTAAAGTGCACGTAGACTTTTCCGTTTTCCGTATCAATACTCCTATGTCCATGAAACCGCCGTCCATGCATGTTGAGGTCCTAACGCCGAGTCAGGTCAGCTTAACATTTTGAGGTGCTACACGGCCTAAGCGGGCTTTGAACATACGTTTAACCAAATACTGACTTCTTCAGCCTCTAAATGGGTATCTGATGCAACGAGAAGGTACCGGGACAGCCCTAGCTCAGTGCTGAGTGCGGTTGCAACTGGATTGGATTTACTAGCTTCGCCCAGACTGTTGACGTTAGTGAAAGGGCTGAAAGCCGAAGCAGTCGGTGACAATCTTGTGCTGATCCTATGGCGAGGAGTTACGAATGGATCCCTCTCCTGCTCAACGCCAGGGCCGAACTTCTTGTCACCTGCTCCCATTGTCACTGGTGATGTGGCGGCTGAATTAGAGAACGGAAGAACATGAAGAAAGCTCGTGGTTTGCGTTTTTTTCCCCTCTGGTGAAATGGTCGTCAAACGCGTATTCGGTGTCCCTTTCAGTGATTCTTCAATCCCACTTGAAGAACGGGGAGAGGAGGATGGGTTGTCATGCTGTAGAGCCATGACAGACAGACTGTAGAAGTTATATTGCACTAGACTCTCGCTCAGGGAACTTGAAGTGCTGTTTAACGTCCTGTACAGACAGAGTGCAGGAATGCCGAAGGGACCTCGTGGACAACAACCTTGAAAGTGGCTCAAAGGGAGGGAAAGCGGAATTGAAAAGTGTGATTCGGGATAAAAAGTGGCCATAGAAGAAGAAATGGGTAGTAAGCGAGACAGTGGCACCTGCCTCGACTGTCCAGAACCTGGGACCTTCATCACATTCGTTTGGTTTCCGGGCAGGCCACTCGGATCCTTCCTTCCCCTCGGCATCAATCTGCCACAACGGTCATCTCACGCATTCACTGCGCGTCCAACTTATCACTTGGTAGTGAGCAAAACTTTCTCTTCATGGCTCGCCATCCTGCAGAGCATCTCGCTACCCAAAACTGCTTAGGTACCTAGGTAGGTAATAAGTACTGTTACAGCTGTAAGGGCTATCCGAATCGTGAGGAAGTAATGCCAAAAAATACCTCACGCAGTTCTGACTCCCGTATAGAATGATGACACGAATGAATTGGTCCTTGCTTACACTTAGGTTCTAGGTCTCTTCTTTTCGTTCATACAAGGCGTTGCAGTTTTTCGCTGCCAACATTCTGGCAAACAGCAGCCTGCATCTATTGCCAGCTCGTTTGGCTTTTTGATTCCTGAAAGATGCTGTGCAGAGACTGTGTTCGTTTCGGTACCCTAATGTTGGAAATATCATACTGACGAGCAAAATTTAGACGGAAATTTGGGCCTGTTTAAAACGAATAAGAGCACCAACTCTGGGTGGCCAACCCTGTTTGTCGTCGAATACGGAGTAATGTCGCCGTCGAATTAGATCGAGCCTTGGCACCAGGCTAGCTGTAATGATGGGGCAAGTGGCTCTGCCAAACGGCCCGGCTGTCGATGAGGTGGGTGGGGTTAAGATAAAGCCAGACTTCCGTACCACCAGGCCCATTGGATGCGTCGATACCCTTTCACAGAGACCAGTTACCCATTTCTTCCACAATCCCGTTGTCATAGCAGTTCACCATCATCTCATGTGATGAAGACCGCAGAGTACGCTGGGAGACTTACATATATCCATGCATCACAATGCCACGGCGCCAAGCTGCCTTTGACGACTATACCTCTGCCGTTCCGCAGGTACGAAACCTCGTGCATTGTTATTCCAGGAAGTCGATGCCTCATCGACATCCCATCATTGACCTTCACTAGATCATTATCGCGTCTACCGATTCCGATTTTCTCGATCATTTGATACCGGTGCTAAAAGATGCAGCAAACTCCAGACGGATACCGGCCCTAATACAATGCCTCACGCGATACTCCGAGGACCGCGAAGCTGATATCGAACGTATTGGCTTGACCAAACACGAAGAATTCCTCGAATCGGTTTCGAGACTACAACATGTTCGAGAAGACACTGTCAGTCTCACTACGGAGATTTTGAAACTCAACCAATCCATCCAGGCTAGCACAGAGAAATTAGCTGAGCAGAAAGGTGCCCTGGTCAATACAAAAGCTATTCGACAGAACATTGCCGATGCAACTGAGGCCCTGAGAGACTCCTTGAAGGTACTACATGCTGTCAATCACGCCCATGACCTCATTCGCCAGAAAAATTACTATTCTGCTCTCAAATCTCTTGAGGATCTGCAAAACGAACATTTAGTTCCTATATTACAAAATCGATATGCTACGCAGCATCGCTTGGCTGATGTCATTCAAAAATCCCTACCTGGCTCTCGAAAAGCTATTTCGGAAGCTGTCATGACAGACCTCAACACATGGCTGTTTAGAGTTCGAGAGACGTCTCAATTCCTTGGCGAAGTGGCGTTTTATCACACTGAAATGAGACGGTCCCGGCAGAGAAAGCGGGTTGAGGACAACCAATTCCTAGCTAACTTTAAGCTCAATTCGTCCATTGAACTTGTATGCGATGAAAGCGAGGAATTCGACGTACTGGACAACGAAGAACTGCAAGTCAATTTCACACCACTCTTCGAAGCACTGCACATTCATGACGCACTTGGCCAAAGTGATCGATTTCGTGCAGAATATGCCGCTACTAGAAGGCAGCAGAAAGACCTACTTCTACCCAGCACGGTTGAACTACTCACTGATGACGAGTCTTCGCTAAGCAGCCTCTTAGAGGGCATTGCGGGATTCTCAATCATTGAAAAGGAAACCATGCGTCGTGTACCACAATTACGTTCCGCAGCCGACGTGAGTCCGCAGTCCCTTACCCTTGGAGCAATTTCTAACATGAACACCTGCATTTGACAGGTCGAGGAGCTTTGGGAGTCAATGTGCGGTGCTGCTATAAGCCTAACATCTCGAGCGCTGAACGACGTGGGTAATGCCGAAGTCCTCCTTAAAATGAAAGGGTTCATCGCCCTGTTTGTTCAAACCATGGAGGTATGTGCCGTCCCAAGCTGCTGATCGCTTTTTCCTAATCTCATACAGGGCTGGGGTTACTCGATCTCCACTCTTGACACGTTTTTACTTACGCTATTTGACAAATATGCTGAGCTTCTCAAGCATCGATTTAGTGAAGATTTTCAGGAGGTCAGCATAATGTGTCCAAATTCATTTGATATGCCTCTAATGATCACATCTGCCCATAGATTGTCTCTACAGATGACTACATGCCAATGGCCATTAATTCTCGTGAGGAGTATGAAAAAGTCATTAACGTCAGCTGGTTCATGCAAAGCCAAGCTGTCGACGATGTGACGTATGTTCAGGAGAAAATCATAGCGTTGTTACTTGTTTATTGATGGCATCAGGTTCCCTTGTGTGCTACCCTTCTCGCAGATGTACCCTTTATGTTGCATAGATGTTCGGAACTTTCTCAACCAGTTTTATTTCTTTTCCGATGATCATTTCCAGCACGCGGAAGTAATTGATGAGACTTTACGAAAGGTGCATAAACACGATTCATCGCGCAGGGATTCAACGTGACACCTAGCTAATAGCATTGGACAGTCACTAGACGAGCTTCTCACCGAAAAGGTTTGCCGATCATTGGTTGAGAGACTCTCTTCCCAGTATTTGGGACAAATTGTTCAGATTCTCATCAATCTCGAGCACTTTGAAATTGCATGTCAAGAACTTGAACAGCTTCTTATCCGTGCCAGGTCGTCAAGCTCGGCTGGCGGGCCTTTGAAACTGAACGCAACCAAAGAGTTTCGCAATAACAAGAAAACTGCTGAGAAAAGAATTTTCGAGCTCGTTAATAGCAAAATTGACGACCTAGTTGACACGGCGGAATATGATTGGTGAGTATGGTGCAATTTATCTACTCCCTGCTGAGACATAGCTGACCCTTGCATTCTTTAGGTTGGCGACGGCTGTGGCACCAGAGCCGAGTAACTATATGCAAACCTTGACTCGTTACCTATCCAATATCATGAACTCGACTTTGTTGGGGCTACCGCGAGAAATTAAGGAGCTGATTTACTTTGATGCCTTATCTCACGCTGCTAACAAAATTCTGGTTGGCACTTTCATTCCTCTCCATACTGTAATATTAACGCAGACTTTTGCGCTAATTTATATCTATAGGCCTTACCCCTGTCTCCTGAAGTCCAAAATATCAATAGCAATGGGGTTGCTGCATTGGCACTTGATGTCCAGTACCTAACTGAGTTCGTCAGTAGCCTAGAAAACGGGCAGATGTTGCGCGAAAATCTGGATGAGCTCCAGCAGACTGTGAACCTGATGGAATCAGATAACCATGACGAATTTTTCGACATCTCCATTCGAAACAAGAAATACGGCCGCGTAGATGCCCTGAATGGTCCAGTGCTCTTGGAAAAGTGCGTTGTCTAGTACCTCCGCAGAATGCGTACTTACTAATGACTTCATCAGGCTTACGCCCGTATCGCAAGTTGCTGGCAGAGCTGCGCCCCTGTCGAATTTATCGTCACGGTTTGGCATGATGAAATGAGCCAGTTGTGAATAGAGACTGAACTTAATCTTTAAAGACTACCTTACAAGAGAGACAAGTAAACGTACTTGTCCACGATAAGCTTTAACAGCAAAATACGTTGAGTTTGCAAACCACGAAAAAAAACCATGCGCCTACCCAAGCCACACCACGCTGTCACACCATATATACAAAAGCGATGCAGTTTTCTCCACGCGTCAAACTTGAGCGAAGCGGCGAAATGGTCAATTGCATACTTCAGCTACTCAAATTCTTCGGAAGACATTGGCGCCTTGAGTACGTCACAGATCAGTTCAGGGCTCGTCAAGTGGCTGGAAAGTGCATTTTCTCACCTGCTGCGCTTGCATGGCAGAGTATGGATACATGCCTTCCATCTCTCCATACATAGATGCTGGCGCTTGGGCTTGACCGTAGGGCGCTGAAGGTGCGGGAGGTACCTGGCCAGCGTACATGTTTGGATTTTGTCGGTAGTCTTGATCAGTAGGAAGATGGTGGCCTCCCATATATTCCGCTGTGGCCATGGGATGTGAGGCATGGTTAGACTGAGCCATATTAGCATGCTGACCAGCCATCTGAGCTTGCCCCGGAGGTGCAGGCACAGCCTGTGGGCCGCCGGTGGACTGTGCAGCAGTTCTTTTCGCATGAGATGAGGCTTCCTCTCTTGGGACAATGTCAATTAGAAAATCGAACATGTCCGATTTAGCCAATGCCGACGCAATGTCTGAGCGCTGGAGAGTCCGACGTTTGTTCTCCTCGGCATGAATCCAAGCACGCATAGTAAGCTCAGTGATAAAAATATCGCATCCTTTTGCAAAAAGAATTGGCGCTTCGGCTGAAATCATCTTTACTTCCGGATCAGCCTTCATTACCTTCTTAATACGTGCAAGTGGCAATTGGTGAATCTTGTAGTCATGTGTATCGCTCTCCAAGTGGGTTATGGTTTGCTGCCAGTAAGTAGTCAAGATATCCTTGTATTGGCCGGTCAACCCTTGATGGACCTATTAAGCAGTCGATCGAGTTAGAGTCAACATGGCACACCAGAAGAACGGCACGAACATTTGCCCAGGGACCAGTGTAAAGCTCAGCCGGTGCAAAACCTTGAGATGCAAGCTAAATAGAAGAGTTAGAGTAGTCTAAAAGAAGTTGAATAGACTTGGACGAACTGCTGCGCATGCACCTATAACGGAATGGTTAGCAAAGTCCGCGAAACCTAGCGAATGTAGGAGCTCCTACCATAGTGACCACCATGGCTAGGGTCATAAGCTGGAGCCGAACGGTTCGGCTGTGCCTGAGACTGCTGCGACTGCGCCTGCGTATCCATTCCAAGCGTTGATGATGTTGCCGTCAACAGAAATGATATGAAACGTCCGGCGGCCGTATCGGCGTCGAATTTCGAGTTCTTAGACGGAGCAAGTAGTGAAATAGTCTTCGCGCTCTAAATATCCCGCGTTGACACTCTTCGGGAGCCGAGATTCGGAGAATAATAAAAGTGACAATCAAAGGCCGTCAATTGTGTTCGTCGTCGAGAGACCAAGTCGAGATGCGCCGATTGAGACGATGTAGGTGTACGGAGCACAGACGCCCAAGCTGCTTAGGCAAGGTTCAGTACTCCGTAAACCAGCCCCGTCCCAACCACCAGCTGGAGCCTGTAGCGGGGCCAAGCTACCTCGTCGCTCATTGGATAAAGTGTATTATATAATATTCACACTCTCGCACCTCCGAATTTTTTTCTTTTCCTCCCCCGAGGTCATTTGATCCGGAGTCAGCTTCTGTATTCAAAAAATCAAACCAGCTCGCAAGTTGTCGTACCGCGGGCGGTAGGGCGTATATTATCAAGCGCAATGCCTAATATGGTAGATGGTAAGGTGAACAAGCTCCTCTGCCAGGCCGAAGAACGACTCGAAATATCGTTCTCAGCATCAAAACATGCCCAATCATCATCTGCGGTCAAAACCCTAGGCAACGTACACGCTGGTAGATCCAAAGAAGAAAACCTTTCTATCCGCCAGCCTCAAACACAGTCATTCACAGCGAAAAGGAATAAGGTACGGATACATCATGTCAACTCTACCCTACTGCCTCATTCTTAACCCCTGTGGTCTTGGTCATTTTGGCATCCCTGTGCAACGAAGGATAGTGATGAGAAATAACCGTTTTCGGTACCTTGACTTGGGACTAGTATCCGTTTTGGGTCACAATCCCATGGCTTCATGATTTTCATTATATCATAGTTACTCTGAATCCTTTTCTGCGTCTTTATGTGTCGCCTGCATTGCATTGCTCAGCATCGTTCATTTTCTTATTGCAAGCACTGACCTGTGCCAACCAATTCACAGAATACTGCTGGATCTGAGTGGTTTGATCTACCAAAAACGGCACTTACTCCGGAATTCAAACGCGAATGGCAGCTATTGCGAATGCGCAGTGTACTAGATCCAAAACATCAAAAAAAGGCTCTTAGAGCTGCTGTGCCGGAATATTCCCAAGTCGGAGAAGTCATTGCTGGTCCAACGGACTTCTTCAGCGCCAGGCTTACGAAACGAGATCGAAAAGCTACCCTATCAGGAGAGATGATAGGAGCCGTAGACGGGCAGAAGTTACGGACAAAATACGCAGGGATACAGCGCACAAAAGCTTCTGGAAAGAAAGCGTTCTATCAAAGACTTGTATCAAAACGAAGGAGAAAATAAATACGACGAAATGTGGGGGATTTATTGATTCAATCGAATGAACCAGCTTCCCGTGGCATATATTCCACCAGTTAGCTGTCCAGATGGCTACCAATCGAGCCAGGGCCGTGTTGTCCATGTTGCACTGATGATGAGAGGGTCGCGTATTTCAAGTTCTCCAAGAAGAGCTTAGTTTGCAAAAAGCCCAGCGCATGTGCGGAATTATGGCAGTTGACGCCAACTGATCACGGAGAGGCGGGCCTCCGGCGAGGAGGAAATCCATAGCCTAGCCAATATTACAGGACCCCCGCCAGATTCGGTAGGACTGTTCGGGTGTTCGCTTTCAGAGGGTTGCCATCGTTAAGGGAATGAGCATAATGATAAGTCAGACGGAACTACGCTACGCGATCATTAAGATGATGAAGATGAATATTGACGAGCAAAATTTGTAATGCATGAACGGGTACTTCGTGAGTGTGAATAATGGAATATCAGTCCTTTCAGCGTACATGCCTTGGTTAGACGCGTGTCGACCGAAAGCCGAAAGGATCAATTGACGATGCTTAGTCAACAGCGGTGGAGTGATTTGGGTAAATCGTGGCGAAGAGCCAAACCGCACACATGGTTGGTCCGTGCGTAAATGAATGCTTTTTCTGCTCAATACCATTCACTCCCGGCGACACAACCACCCCGGGACAATTACGTTCGACCACATCTTGGATTGATTTCAGCCCTTCAACATGCCTGGCTCATTCCCGAGGTCCAAAGCCAGGGCAATACCGGCTAGCCTGCCTCTCACCCCAGCCAGGACGTCGAGAAGTACTTTTGCATCTATGTTTGTCAAGCAACGCTGCCAGTTCGTCAAGCTATGCTCAGACTAACACTTCTTAGCACTTCAGATCATGACGTAAAATACAATTCCCAATCGCGTTCTTCAACCACGACGTCGTTGGCTAAACCGATTCAGATGGACCAAGTACGCCAGCCCAGGTCCCTCCAAGCTCTTCACCTCAAACCTTTGAAGCGGGAGGCTGAATTTGGAATACCATCATGCGACCTGCAGTTGCGCTCATTCAGCGTCCAGCCACTCGAGTTTTTCTCCGACTTCGCGTTGCGAGCCGCCTACTATCTTGGATTACCAGCCTACGGGCCCATTCCACTGCCAAGGATTACGGAACGATGGACCGTGCCCAAAAGTCATTTTATTTTCAAAAAGGCACAAGAAAATTTTGAACGGGTCACTCTACGTCGTATGATCCAAATCAGGGATGGAAACCCGGAAACAGTGCAGCTATGGTTAGCATATCTCAGAAGGCATCAATTTTATGGCGTGGGAATGAAGGCCAATGTATGGGAGTTCAGTCAGCCAGGTCTCGACCCTTCTCAAGACATGCAAGCGGAGCAACTGGATCAGCTTGGCGATATCTGGTCACAATTGGGTCAAATAGGCGGCTTGGGCACTCCGCGAAAGGTGGAAGATCTACTGAATACTCGTCGCTTCAAGGATGCGGCTGGCTTAAGGCAACCACTGGCTACAAATAAGTAAGCCATGTTGATGTATTTTTAGCGTCCTCGATGTATTATATGACCGAGCTACTCATATCGTAATTCTAGTGATCACTACACAGTAGAATAAGACCATTACAATCTACAAGCGCTATCTCTACTACATAATCCAGGTAGCAGTATACCTCACATACGGTATCGACAGACGCCGACGGCGGTATATGCCTACTTATATATCGCCCCAACAACAAACCCGACTACCAAAATTAAGTGGAAAATACTAAACCAAGGTGGCAACTTCTCAATCGTGCGATGTGGCGTTAAATGGCCTTGCTTAATACTCGACCAGTGTTCGATTTGGACATTTTATTTAATCAATTTGACGGTTATTAGTATATTAACGGCATTCCCTTCTTCAAAACTTGGGTTTACGACGATGTACTACCTACCTTGAACGTTCTGAGAAACATCAATCGTGTTCATTGTTTCAATAATTACCAAGTTCATACTGCTTCGATTGGGGTTGCGGGAGCATTCGAACAATATGGATCTAATATATTGGGCTTGTCACAAAGAGTCTTCCAAGGCCGGAAGTTGCGGGAACCGAGCAGTTACTTTTTGTCGTTATTGGAGTCGAAACTACCCAAGTCTCCCCCCCCCAATAGAACAATCAGATTAGTCTAGTATTTATGAATTATTTTTGCGCAGCTGAGTGTCACATACGACCATAGCCGCCAGATCATGAAATCACGATCCCGTCCGATCTCGTAACGATAAATTTTATTTGCCACTACAGGACTCCTAGACAAGGGCGTGTGCGTATGGCAGGAGAGACCCTGGCCTTTCGCACGTGGATTTCTTTAAACTTAGGAATATGAGATTTAATAGACAGTCCGCCTAGCACATACGATCATAGCCGTTAGCAAAGTTCAGGGCCTCGTCCGATCCCCCATGATAACCTGGCGAGCGCCGGATTAGTAGTTGGGTCGGTGACGACCAGCGAACACCTGGTGTTGTATGTTTGACTTCTTTTTTTTTTTATAGTAGACTATACCTACGGTTTTTATAATCCGAGCTTTATAATATTAATTTTATTGTAAGCTGTGGTTATTACTACCGGCGTGTTAAAAAAAAAAAGTGTCTGAAAGACCACTTAGCCTTTTGACCTCGTGACTCAGTTCTAATGCCACTATTTTTGGGGACAATCGTGGGCATAACAGGAAACTACACGCAAATTGATCTTGGAGGAGGATCAGCGCGGGGCTCTGTTCAACCTGCACACCCCACTTTGAGCAAGTAATGTTCTCACGATGCATCCACCCACACAAGTGCATGCCAGACTGACATGTAAATAAGGAATGGAAGCAATGGAAGACAACACCCTTCCCTGGAGCCTTGATAGAGTTGAATCTGTAAGTGGTGTTGCTGCTTGTCATTGCTTTTTACACTATGTTTGCATGCACCCAGTCATTGCTGAGACAGCCTGCAACAGTTGATTTCCTCACTCTACGAACCCGGTCAGCCCAATGCCATCACCGAGGCGCAGGCCCTGCTAGCCAACTTTCAATCTTCCCCTCAGGCCTGGATTTTGGCCCATGAGCTTCTAAGGCGACCAGACGAGAAGGGGAAATTCTTTGGAGCTCTCACCATCATCGTAAAGCTCAACAGGGAAAGGTTGGCTATGCCGAGTTCCCTGCAGATGTCAGCAAGATAAAGCTAACTATCATCGCAGCTCGTCGCTTAGTGACGAAAATGCACAAGAACTATTAGAGCACCTCATTGGATGGTATCGACATTCTTTTGAGAATTACACTGGTCCCTTGGTGCCGCGCAAACTATCATCAGCCCTCGCAACTTTCTTCCTCCACTTCCATCAACTGTGGCCTAGTTTTGTTCGCCACCTTAGCATATGCCTGGCCTCATGGCAGTACTATGACCCTCTTTCTCTACAATCTTCCGTCGATGTAGGTCGTGTCCTGGATACGCTAGATCTGAACAAACTAAAAGCCGTCTTATGGGTCGTCACGAGTATCGTGGAGGATGTCATCAGGATTGACTGGAATACAGCAAATGGGTGAGTTAGTTCAACCTTGGGCATAGCAATTAAATGCTTATGTATTCGAGGGTCCATCTTTACAACTCCGTTGTTCGAGAAGCCACGGATGCAACAACTCTGTTATCCAAAGGCTTGGCCGAGACCCAGATGGCCGCTGTCAGTAACGACTGTATTAAGTGTTTCCAGGTATTTCAGTCCACTATCGCATATGCAACTAAGTATCAACCATGAGCTAACAGCTCCACAACTAGTCGTGGATCTTCTTTGCTCAGAAAGCATCCTCTTGCGACAGTCACGTTCTGGCCTTGTTGAGAAACCTGATGCCTAGTGTCATAGAATCTCTTATTTCTGAAAGCCGCTTCGGTGCTTCGGCTGAGCTACTGATAGATACCTTGTCTAATTATCCTTCTCTGCTATCAGAGCACCATTTTAACCTTTTGGCGAACCTCTTTGTTAGTTCTTGGGCGGATGAACGTTACAGGCGGCTCCTCGAAGGCGATAAAGAATTCGAATCAGCCCAATTTGGACAGTTGCTCTTGGCATTTGGCGAGGAAAAGTGCCAGTGGCTAATGCAGTCTGAAGACCCAAGAAGCAAAGCCTTGCTTTCTAGGCTATGTGGCTTACTTGGATCCGATGGCTATCCAGTAGCTGAGAACAGAGTGTTCGTGCCAGCCATCGAATTTTGGTCCACCTTCACTGAAGTCATGTCAGATCTTGTCACTTTGGATGATATCTCTGCCACTCCCTGGGCAGAGTCGGCGTTATCGCAGGTTCTGGAAGTGGTTTCAGTCGCATGCCGTAAAATCACCTACCCCCCGGCAGAAGAATTCAGCCAGTGGGACTCCTCCGATCGAGTAGGTTTCTCAGATGCTCGAAAGGACGTTATTGACCTGTTACAATCAGCATATAGTCTATCAGGCTTTCAGCTGGTAGCCACATTTTCCAACCTCGTACTCACTGCATTAAACGACTGTGCCTGGTTACAGCTAGAGACAGCTGCCTTCTGTCTTGCTGGTCTGGCGGATTGTAGCAAGGACGATGTTCGCCTAGACGAGGCACTGGGATCAGTGTTTGAATCTTCTTTGTTCTCACGTCTCTCATCCCTGGACACCGATATCACCTTACGGACGCGGCAGACATGCCTGTATCTCATAGAACAATATACGGAATACTTCGAACGAAATGTTTCTTCCCTTGCTCCCGCATTAAGGCTCTTATTCAGTCTGTTGGGAAATCCGTCTATGGCGGCACCGGCATCAAGATCAATTCTTCGACTATGCTCCTCTTGTCGGCATCACCTTCACGCAGAAACAAACGGGTTCCTCGATGAATATCAGGCCTTAGCTGAGCAGGAGAGACTCGATTGCGTATCCTCCGAAAGAGTCCTCGCCGCTATTTCATCTATTGCACAAGCCATTCCCGACACTCCTCGGAGATACAACGCATGCACAAGGCTAATAGAATTTATTCAAAACGATAGTGCTCGCGCAAGGGAGCTAGCTCAGCTTCCTGTAGGTACCAAGCTGCTATGTTTTGGTCAACGATGCATAGAGAATTCCGCCGACGAATCGCCCGGACTACATATCGCGTTGAAGACTCTGCGCTGTTTAGTTGGCATCGGGAGAGGTCTCCAAACTCCCGCAGATTCAACCATTGACCTTGACGCAAGCAACGCGCCAAAAGCTGAGTATGATGACCGGTTGGAAGGGCTTCACAGACAGGTTGTTCGAATCATCATGGACATTGAAGATACTTTTGGTAGAAATAGCGAGGTCAGCGAACTCGTTTGTGCCGTCCTCCGTTGTGGCTTCTCTGAAAGCGAACCAGGACCATTTGTGCTGGGGTTTCAAGATGTCACCAGCTACTTGACAAGTCATGGTGGAAATATTCCCAGGCCAGGGATATTTGTTTCCACTGCTTGCTCGTTTGTCAGCTCTCTCTATACACAGTGGAATCTCAACAAAGGGAGGGTATATACAACATTACTATTGTGGGTAGTACGGCTGCTTCAACAATCACCTGGTACGCAAATATTGGCTCATTCACTTGTCGCTGGTCAAGCCACTAACCTCGCCTTGCGTCTATCTTGGGTGTAATAGACCCAGAGCATGATCCAGAATTATCTCAAAATAGCATTGATTTTGCTTGCCGGTTGTTGAGCAAAAGCCCAACAACCCTACTTAACCTGCAGCCAACAAGTGCCGCTGAGTATTTCTTCCTCTTCACCATACAGGTTTTAGATGGTAGTGAACCCCTACCAAAGGCGGCAGCAGCAGAGTTCTGGGTATGTATCCTGGTTACCTGGCCCACACAGGTGGCTCGATTGCTCAATTTATTATTCTGACAAGCCCTTCACTTTTTTTTTTTCCTTCTTTATCTCTGGACTGAAGGATATAACCTTGTCAGCTACTAGAGAGAAGTCAAAGACTAATAATAATTCATCAATGTTAGGCAACGTTTATAACACTCAAAGGTGGTCATCCAGAAGCATCTGATGCTGCAGAGCAAGCGATGGGGACTCTAGGTCCTCTCCTTGCTCGAAGCCTGGCTAGAAATATTGGAGGCCGAGCCTCAAGAAGCGAGCTGGATAGGCTTAGCGAACCTATAAAGAGACTGGTCAATTGTTACCCTTTGGCAAAAGAGTGGCTACAAAACGGGCTTGGTCACACTTCGTTTCCAAGTTCCAAGGTGACAGAGGAACAGAAGGCATTATTTGTCAAGAAGGTAGTAAGGTACGTTTACGGCCCTTTCACATTCGGCAATTCGTCAGTATGCTAACCGCTTGTTCCGAATACAGTCTCAGAGGCTCTCGAGCTACGAACCAGGTTGTGCGTGATTTTTGGTTGTCCGCTCGGGGTAGTAGCTTCGCATACGCTTCTTAACGATATGGAGTCGTATATATGAACATATGGATGGCTTTTCATTTTGAGGATCAAGATGTTCATTCGACACCTCAATGAAAAAAATGTTATTTTCCTGGCTATCGGGAGAAGCAACAGTCAATGAGGGCATGTGATTTTCCTGATCATTCCATGCATTGCCATAAATTGACAATACCGAATGGACCCGATTGGCGTCCACGAGCGTCACATCGATACTTATTGTGTGTGAGGAATTGAGTGGCTTACTCTCGCCACCGTAATATATTACAAGGTGACATTTTATTGTACAAAACGCCTCAGTCCGATGGTAGTACGCTCCTCCACCGGTGGCTACGGAGCCTAAGTACGACGGCTTCCTTTCTCATGCGGCCAGCAGCGCCGGCACTACGGGCACTCCTGTTGTTCACGGAGGTGAGGGCACAAGTCCTACTGTTATTCAAGTCCGAAGTTCACCGCAAAGAGCGATGAGACACAGGCCTAGGTATTAGCGGCGCTGCAGGCCTCCTTGGTCACAGTCCCACAGCTGTTCTCACCATACCCATTGTTTCTTCCGCACTTTGCAATGCTTTTCGCGCACCTTCAGCCGCCACATGATCCAAATAATGGGTATCGCCGTCAATGAGCTCTGTATACCGAGTCCTAATGCCCTGTAGTCCAAGAGTGATCGCATCGGATACCATGTCCTTGAACAGGCGGGGATGAGTATCACTGTATGCCTGTGCAAGCTGCTCGGGGCTTCGTTTCTCCGCGTCGAATATGGAAAAGAGGCTCAGGAGATTTGATATGCCCGGCCTTAGAGCAGGATCATAGGATATCCCATGGACGGAGTCAGTCAGAGCGGAGGAAATCTTGAGTCTAATCTCATCAGGGGTATCTGTGATCAGAATTCGTGAACGAGCCAGTTTGTGTGACTTGGACATCTTCGATGTTGGGTCTGAAAGGGACATAACTCGATGTACCGGGGCTAGATGCACCACGTGATTAGTCTATGATGATGGAGCAGTCGGGACTGATACACATACGAGTAATAGTTTTCGGTTGAATTAGACATTCCCCATATGCGTGGTTAAAATTTGTGACGCACTCCCGGGCGAATTCGAGGTGTTGTTGCTGATCATGTCCAACGGGAACATGCGTGGCTCTACAGAATAGTGAGTTCAATTCGACATAGGCTCCCACCATGACGAGGGTGTAGCCACACACCTGTGGACGAGTATATCAGCGGCTTGGAGGACTGGATAGGAGAAAAGCCCAAGCTTCAATCGGCTTTCAGCCGGCCGGTCTTCCATTTGTGAATTTGGTGCAAGGTTTAGTTTTTGCTAGCTTGGCTGTCAGCGCACGCAGTAGGGAACCGGCTTTTGTCTCGGTAAACGCGGACACTATTCGCACCTTCCACTGGGTCATCCGAGAGAGATATCCAACGGACGCTGTACAGGCTAAGATCCACATGAGCTCTGAATGAGCAGGTACCTAGTATCATTTTGTCAGGCTCTCTGGCTCCGGTCTGTTTGCAGAGGCCTTGGTAGGTGTCCTTCTGGAACTTACGGACGACTGGTAGAAGAGAATGGACCGCTCTGGGTCAATTCCTACTGCCAGAAGCGCGGCGAGGCTTTCTCTCTTCCATTGCTTCAATTTTTCCGGCGATTGGGGCGTGGTAATAGCGTGGAGATCGACAATGGAGTATATCAGCTTTGTATCCTTGGGCTCATGGTGTTGCAACTGCACCCATTGCCGTAAAGCGCCAACATAGTTGCCCAGGTGTGGTATGCCAGTAGGCTGGATCCCTGAGAATATGACCTTGGGCCGTACGGCTGTAGATTTATTGCTAAGGCGCTGCATCTAGTTCAGTTTTAGGCACGCAGCTTGGATGTGAGATAGTAGGTTCCGTATATGATGCAATAGGCGCGTGTCTCACCAATCGAGCAAGCAAGGGGGATAGTTTGTTGGCGATGAGCTGGCTATTCGTATCGTGTTTCGGTCATCGCTAAGTTCGGGTGTCCTACGTGGTTGAGGTCTCTCGATAATTTTGCAACGTACCGGGAGCCGAGCTTGGCCTGGCTTGGTGTGATCGCCTCCCTGGTACCTAGGTAGGTAGCTTGGCCAGGTTGCGAGAAGCAGGCCAGGGAACGAATGTGTGATGTGGGGCTCCCATTTGCATCAGGGCCAATCACGTGTGTCACTGCGGGATGATGAAGGGTCCTGTGAACATACCTAGGTAACTACTCCTGAGTCCGTACTCCTCCTGGTCCAATTTGTCCAGGGCAATAAATACCTAGGTGCTTAGGTATCTACTGGGTAATGAATACACACGAATGTGGACAGGTCGACTCCGGGCCCGTTCCAAGTCCCATCAGACGGTGGCTATCTACACACTCAGGTGCTCGGTGGGTGACAATATTGTGTGCCATACATTGTCGTTTGAAAAAGCCAACACCATCCGTGGTCCTGCATGTGGTGCTTAGACAGCTTTACAGAAAGGGAAGCTCCCTACCGGCGGAACAATTAGGCTGTGCGAGGTACTTTTTATTTCCCTGACTGGCATGGTATTCAGTGATCAGAGGGCTTGGGGCTATACTTAAGTACCTAGGTAGGCAGACAACCAACGGCAATACAACCCGGTTGGCATTTGTTCCAATCTATTCTGAGCTGGCGCGAATGCCATGCGTTCCGATATCCATAAGAGCGGGAGTGTACTGGAAGAGAGAACACGAGATCAGGCCAGCCACCCTAGACCGAAAACGGTGTTCGGGAATTTCCACGGCATGCTTGTTGGCATTTGCGGGACAGGACATGCTAGTTTTAAGATCCATATATTTAAGTAGCTTTTCTGGCCATGACTTGGTGTAACTGGCTTTGTGATGATATGTCATGACTGCTGTAGAGTAATTGTTCTTGCGTTGTGCCGTCGTGATCCTGATGTGAGTCCTCTGCCCGTCCTTACCGGAATGGCACTACCCACTCCTCCTCCTTTGACATCACCCAGCCGCCACCACGGGTTGTCCAGAGCCGTCCATACCCGTGCCTACCTGCCTAGGTAGGTAGCTAAGCAGCGCGCGGTATTACGCCTGACAGCATGGGCCGAAACCATATCGGCTAGTTAGTTATTATGCAAATATCTACCCCTCCCAGATCACAACTGCAAAACACAACGTTCCCAACTGCAAAGCTTGCCATAAGAAGACCGCACCCGTCAACCAGCTGGCACTCTCCCTTCCGATTGCGCAACCAGAGGGTCGGTCAATGCTCGGTAGACCACTCCCCGCGTTACCACGCACATTACGAGCATACCCTCTGTACAATTACGCAAAGCGTCGTCCAATAACTACCACAGCCATGGCGGATTCCTCCCCGCAGCTCGCAAAGCTGAGGAGCTTGATGAAGGAAAGGAAGGTCCATGTCTATGGTAGGTAACAGCCTGACCGATTGAAGTGAACCGGCAAACCAGCTGCCGTACATTGCCCTAACGCATCAACCCAGTTATCCCGTCCGAAGATAGCCACAGCTCAGAATACATCGCCGCCTGCGATGCCCGCCGGGAGTTCATCAGTGGATTTACGGGATCAGCAGGGTGTGCCATCGTCACACTCGAGGCCGCCGCGCTTGCCACAGATGGTCGATACTTCAACCAAGCTGCTAAACAACTAGACGGCAACTGGACCTTACTGAAGCAAGGACTGCAAGATGTCCCTACCTGGCAAGAATGGGCTGCCAGCCAGTCTGCGGGAGGGAAAATCGTGGCCGTTGACCCATCACTCCTCCCTGGGTCAGCTGCCAAGAAACTCAATGACCAGGTCCGCAAGGCGGGCGGTGCTGACCTGGTTCCCCTCGACGAGAATATTGTAGATATAGCATGGGGCGATAGCCGTCCCGAACGTCCTTGTCAACCAGTGAGCGTCCTACCCGACGAGCTTGCCGGGAAGCCGGTCGCGACAAAAATCGAGGAGCTGCGCCAGGAACTAGCCAAAAAAAACTGCCCTGGTTTCTTTGTGTCCATGCTGGATGAAGTTGCGTGGCTCTTCAATCTACGGGGTAGTGACATACCCTACAACCCGGTGTTCTTCTCATATGCCACTATCACGCCGGAGACGGCAATCCTATACGTTGACGAGTCTAAATTAGACGACTCCTGCAGGGCACACCTACGGGAGAATAATGTTCAGGTCAAACCTTATGACTCTTTTTTGCCTGATGCCCGCCACCTGCATACTGAGGTCAAGACCAAGCGGCAGGCCGGTGGAGATGGTGTTGTGATAGGCAACTTCCTCATATCGAACAAGGCCTCATGGGCAATGAGCCGAGCGCTCGGGGGTGACGGCTCAGTAGAGGAGATGCGGAGCCCAGTCGGTGATGCAAAGGCAGTCAAAAATGAAACCGAAATGAATGGCATGCGAGCCTGCCATGTCAGAGATGGAGCTGCCCTAATTGAATTCTTTGCTTGGTTAGAGGACCAGCTCGTTGACAAGAAGATCATGATTGATGAAGTGCAAGCGGCTGACAAACTAGAACAATTGCGATCGAAACAGCAACATTTTGTTGGCTTGTCCTTTCCCACCATATCTTCTACCGGAGCAAAGTAAGAGCTAGACCCAACTCATGACAATCTGACAGACCAATCAGGTCTGTGTCTCTTGCGTCCATTGCAGTCGGTCGCTGACGTACGACTCTAACAGCGCAGCTATTATCCACTATGGCCCCGAGAAAGGTAGCTGCGCGACAATAGACGCGGGAAGCGTGTATCTCTGCGATTCCGGAGCGCAGTATCGTGATGGGACTACAGACACAACGAGAACACTACACTTTGGGAAGCCCAGTGATGCCGAGAAAAAGGCATACACGCTTGTCCTCAAAGGCCTCATCGGTCTTGATACAGCAGTCTTCCCGAAAGGCACCACAGGGTTTGCCCTGGACTGCCTAGCTCGGCAGCACCTTTGGGTTAGTATCGATGCTCAACAGCCAGACATCAATATGCGCTTACGCCCTCTGCATGTAGAAAAACGGGCTTGACTACCGACATGGTACGGGCCATGGCGTGGGCTCATATCTCAACGTCCACGAAGGCCCGATTGGTATCGGGACCCGCGTACAGTATACCGAAGTCCCACTGGCTCCCGGAAACGTGCTCTCCAACGAGCCAGGCTACTATGAAGACGGAAATTTTGGTATCCGGATTGAGAATATCATGATGGTTAGAGAGGTTCAGACGGAACATTGTTTTGGAGACAAGTCGTACTTGGGCTTCGAACACGTCACCATGGTTCCCTATTGTCAAAGCTTGATTGAGAGAGATATGCTTACTGCGGATGAAAAGGCTTGGCTGAATGCATACAATGACGAAGTTCTGAAGAACACCAGGGGCTTTTTTGAAGGTGATGACTTGACAATGTCATGGCTTACACGGGAGACACGACCAGTTGAGTAGATATAGTTATACCGTTAAAGAACCCACACTATTCACTATCCCTTAAAGATGAACAAACGCGGCCAATACATATGTTATAGCAAATGAGCATGTGAACCATGGGCTTTTTGTGCAAGCCCGGCAAAGTGCAGATACTCCGGGAACTCGACCAACTCCAGCCAGGTGTGACAGGTTATATCCATATTTGGAAGCAAACTTATTGCGTCAGTATCGAGACAAATGAGGTGCGCAACCAGAGCAAGCCCTGTTTATTGGTTTCCAGGCCTGGCACCTAGCCAATTCATCGGGTGAGAGTAGGGATTTCCTCACGTGGAAGGATAGGGCAATAGCACCACCAAGGAAGACAAGAGTTCGAGAAAATAAGGCCGTTACAAGTCCAGCCAAGAGGCCTGCCGTCAAGGAATCATATCAGTAATGACGAATGCAAGCCAACATCTGGGGCCTTATTTCAAAACAGCTCTAAAGACAGTTGCTGACCTGCAAGACTACCGTTAGAGATTTGCCGAACAACCTCGGGGGATATCCTAGTGCGCCGAAGTCGATTCCGTGATGGCGTAGAGGACGGATTGAGTACCGGTCGGGCATCGAGCCGAACGTACGGTCCGTTTACCAGGATTGAGCTGGTGCAAATGCAGGTGCCAGCTCCAATAGCCAGGAGTTGGGCCGGTCTCCGAAGGCTGCGAAAAGGGAAAACACGGCTCATCGCAAAGTGAATAGTAAAGCTACTTTCTACTTCATGCGTTGTGAGGAGTTGTCTACACAACATGAGGGGTCCTGCTGGAAACGAAGGGACACTCGATTACGTCATCCCTAGAAACAGCCGCACATCCCTTTAAGGTGCCACTTTCGTAACGAGCAAGGATATCAGCCAATGAGAACCCTTAACGTAAAAGAAACATAAGCTTACTCAGAATTAATATAGTGATATAAGTACCAATAATTTCCGCACTTACAAAGAGCTATATAATATTCATCATGATAGGGGGGAATTTCCACCTTATCTTGTTACTAAAAGGGTATCTGCCAGGTATCGAAGAAAAGTGGATCCACTACTCCGTACAAAATCGGCAAAGGGATGGATGGGGCGATGAGTTTCGGTCCTCAGCTTGGTGCCTGCGAGACAATCCACGTACGTGCCTAGGTAACTCCTAGATCGGTAATTAATCTTATATACGTAATATGAGGGTACGATATTTCGATTTGAGTTTCAGTTTATTTGTGAGTGAGAGGGCTGGAAGTCTCGACAATGGGAGATGCAGAATGACGGGAGAGACAGAGACACGGGTTCGGGGCACCGGGAGTCAAGGATTCTCTACTTATGAATAGCAAAACCACATTTACTGAAGTTTGTAAACACTAACATCAAAGCACTGGATACCATAAGCTGGATTTGTCTGAAATTCTAATCTTTTTAGCCAAAATATCAGGTCTCTCCCTAGCCCAAGCCCGCCCAGATACCACGAATTCGTCTAGCAAGTTGAATGTCCTTTTGCATAATTGTTACCCTTTTCGCATGAATGGCACATAATTGGGCGTCTTCGAATAAGTGAACCATGAAGGCTTCAGCTGCTTCTTGTAGCGCTTGAATAGCCTGACTTTGCCAACGGAATTCTCTGCCTCTTGGTCGACAATTCATGCCGATTTCCCGTACCTGCATAATCGACATGTAAGTACATAAATATACATATAGGAACTCATACGAACGCACCAAGCGCATAAATGGCAACTTCAAGAGCAAAAGCTTCGTGGTACCCTGGTATTGCCTAATCTCACGTAGAGCTGTTGTACCTGGTCGATACCGTCTTTTTTGTCGTATAGGAACAGGGTCACCAGCTATCAAGATGGTCAGATAGCCTATGAATCAATACATATGATTGTGGGTGAGAAAGTCATCCACGAACCTTGAATATCCCCAGGTCGAGGATTCCATTTTGGAGTTGGCCTGGCTTTTCTCACCTTCATAGCCATGTCTCAAAGGAAAGAGGAGCCAGATGCTCGCCATATGACCGGAAATTTGGAAGGTGATATACTGCGAGGGCAAAGTTAGAAGGTCCACCGTGAAGTAAAGGATCAGGGGCTTTGGTTGATGGCGGAAACATACACAATTGTCTGGAACGTGGTAATTACTCACCAATCTATACGGGCGGTAGAAAACCCACTCGGAGGGATGCGGAAGTTGATGCCAGTTTTGGGATTCAGCGCAATCAGGTATTCTGCTTAGCACATAATGAAAATTCGGTTATATTAGGCTGATGATGCATTGGATCATGGGCTTCACGCGTCGAGGCAAATGCCCGCTACTAGGTAGGTAGTTAGGTGTGCTGTCTGTGGCCTGCCATGCAGGGGTCGCCGTACAGTGTAAGTTTTGCGCACAGTGAAAGCACCGTGCAGGCAACACTCGCGTTGGCTACCCAATCTGTTAGGTTGTGTTATGTAATGTCGGCTTGGCCGAGTTAAAAGATGCCTTGGCCCAACTCTTAGGGACGGTTGGCTACTGAGGCCGACCAGTGGCTCCCAGCTGTCACAAAGGCCACCTCTACATACCCGCTTTAACGCCAAAGGCCAGAAAGTATTTGTTCTTGATTCCCAAGCTTCCCCATTCCAGGAGAAAAGGGTCTGTGTCTGATGCAAAATAACTGATATAGATGAGGCCGCATTTTATATTTTACGTCTGAAGCCCATTTCTCTCACTCGTCCGCATTTTCTGCCTGCCCTAGCTGGGTCTGTCTGTCACTAGCAACGCGACACTCGGACAGTCGGAGTTTCGGAAACAGCGAACAACATCATTTAAGTCATTTTTTTTGTTAGGTCATCATCATGGACCAAGTCATGGACGGCGGCCGTTTGCCGCTGGAGGAATGGTTCTGGGAAATGCCTGTCTGTACCCGTTGGTGGACGGCTGCAACTATTTTGACAAGTGCCCTTGTCCAGTGTCACATGGTCACTCCGTTTCAACTTTTTTACAGCTTTCGTGCCGTGTTTGCCAAATCACAGGTATGTGAGCGCAGGCTATCCTCATTTTATTTTGTCCCTTCAATGCCTGCAGGGCCCAGCATACCTTTTTTGCGGCTGAGCGTTTGTGAATTCTCTGTTCTGGCACTTATCTTTCTCTCGTTCCATGGCTGATATCTGGCCTCAGTTTTGGCGACTCTTCACTACATTCCTTTATTTTGGACCATTCTCACTCGATCTACTGTTTCACATATATTTCCTACAGAGATACGCCCGACTGCTTGAGGAGTCATCAGGACGATCACCGGCTCACTTTTCCTGGCTTCTTTTTTATGCCATGACCAGTCTTATCGTTTTGTCGCCTTTGGTCTCTATGCCGTTTCTTGGCCAGCCACTCTCCTCGACACTGGTATACATCTGGTCTCGGCGCAATCCCGACACCAGACTCAGCTTTCTTGGGCTCCTGGTATTTACCGCGCCATATTTACCATGGGTTCTCATGGCTTTCAGCCTCTTCATGCATGGGTCCATCCCCAGAGATGAAATCATGGGCGTGGTCATAGGCCATATCTGGTACTTTTTCAATGATGTTTATCCACCTCTTCATAATGGATCTCGCCCATTGGATCCGCCTGTATGGTGGCGGCGTCTTTTCGACGGCCGGGGAACAGAAGAGTCTCAAGAGGGGCTAAACAACGATCTCATTGCTGCAGCTGGCCCTGGCGGGAGGGAGCCCGCAGCAGCACATGTCTTGTAGCAACCTCTGGAGCTCTAGGCACGGCAATCTATTATATCGTGCTTGCATGGATGCTTGCCACGGACCCCAACACATAGATGGATGATTTATTTTGGCCATGCCATACTGCTATCACAAGAGGAAATATTTTGACTTTTATCTTGGCATGGACATAGGCGTTGAACTGGGTTTCTTTGGGCTTTATATGAGCTATAAAATCCTTTCAGCAGGATTACAGTGCCGCCTGTAAAATTACATGGTCGAGCAGAGTGCTCGATTTCCCCGGAGAGGTTTGGCCCCTCGGGTATTTCTCGAGAAGCCTTTTAGCCTGTAGAAGGCAGCTGCTCATGGAAAAATGAAGACCTAGATTTGAAGAACTGAAAGAGCGAATTCGTGGAAGAGCGCTCACATGAAGAGCGAAGACGTCAAAGAAGAATGGAATGGGAACTGAGTAAATGAAAAGAAGCTGTATGCATGACATGTGCAACTTGCTAAGCCGTTGGACGGACGGCACAACGGTGGTTCCGCAGTTTAATTGGAGGGATGACGCCATTCTCTGAATTAGTAATATCTCCACGCCTTGTGCATTGTGCATCCCTCAGTCCCAACCCCACCGAGCTGCCTGGTTCCGGTACAAGGACGATGAACTACGATCGACCGAAAATGCGCGCCCGTCCAAACTCACCTTGCATGGCCCTCTACCCACGTGCCTCAGCACTCGAGACTTGATTAGCCATTTGTAGAGCTGCGAGTACAATACCCATTATCGACCGTGTAAGAAGGCAACTTGTTTCAACCACAACGTCCGCGCCTTGCGGTCCTTTTCCACTTCTGCGGCCCTTCTCTCCACGGACGCCGTTCCACCAGCTGGACAATATGAAAGCATACATGTACGATAACCAACCGGTAAGTAACCAGGATCACTGGGTTTATGCTACAAAGATGCTCATACAACTTCACTGCCTAGGGAGATCAGCGCTTACCCCACGATTCCGGCCGAGCCATCAGCACCGAAGCGCTGGGGAAACTAGGCGTGCTGTACTACCACTTTGCCGACATTGCCGATGTAGATAGACTGGCCGCTGATCGCGGATACAAAAATCGGGACGAAATCACAGTCTCTCCTGAAAAAATGGGCGACGTGTACGAAGATAAAGTCAAAATGTTCTTCAATGAACACTTGCACGAGGACGAGGAGATTCGGTACATTAAGGGCGGTCAAGGCTTCTTTGATGTTCGGAGCAAAGATGATGACTGGGTTCGAGTGCGACTCGAGAAGGATGATCTGCTCATCCTTCCTGCTGGTATTTATCATCGCTTTACCACGGACGAAGCCAATGTACGTGTGCTTTTGTTGATCATACTCTTTGTTTTCCATGACTATTGACCAGGTTCCTCGAATAGTACGTACATGCCATGAGGCTCTTTAAGGACGAGCCCAAATGGACGCCACTGAATAGAAGCGCAGAGCTGAAGGAGAATTCGTTCCGGAAGGCTTATGTTGGACAATACTTGAGCCAATAAATTTCAGCGCGACTGGAGAACGGGGTGTCATCATTCAACCGTCTTGGGGAAGACGATAGCAGGAGTTGCGAGAGAACGTAGCTATGGCAGCACTACATAATGCCGGATCCGGTCATTCTGTGTAGCAGGAAATGAGTGCATTGATATGGTTTTTTTTTCTTCTCCCACTTCTCGTGAATTTCCTGTTTGTTAAGCAACTGCAAACCCCACCCGCCACATGCCGAAGACTGTAGGTCAGTGAAGGCGCCAAGAACACGTAGCAGCCAAATACCACTACCACCACCACCAACAGCAATGTGGGCCATTGTATCAGATCTACTTTTCCATCAGTCGTCTCGCTCAAATCTAACTTGTAGTAGCCATGGGAACCAGAGGTGCCATCGTGAGAGGGTTGATCAATAACAAAAGCGATAGCTAAAATACGTACGTCCCCGCAGGCGACGGAGAGCTAACCGGTTCCATGGATTCCCTACCTCACGAGAATGTGCCAGACGTGCCAGATGGTAATTCCAATAAGCCGCGACTCCAGCTCCCAGCGAGCTGTGACCCCCCATCGATGAGCTCACCCGCAAAGCAGCTTGTATGGATAGTGAGCGCAACTCTCCTGCTCTTTTCTATACGCATTTTACGTTTATATAGATGTATGCTTATATTCTCACTCAGATATTCGGAGGAACTGGCCATATGGGCCGGTCACTCGTAAAATACGCACTGTCTCGTGGGGACTTGGTCACTTCAGTCGGACGAATTCACGAATCTAACATTGATGACATTGCAAACATACATGATAATTGCCTTGGCGCCCTTTGCGATGTCCGTTCTCGTGATTCAGTCGCCAAGGTTGTTCAGGACGCATTATATCGGTTCCGACGTTTTGACGTCGTTGCGAACTGCTCCGGCCACGGAGTCATAGGTTCGTGCGAAGATCAGGATGAGCATGACCTCCGTAATCAGTTTGAGACGAATTTCATTGGAACGCTTCACATAATTCACACCACGCTCCCTTACTTCCGAAGACAGAACAGTGGCCGCTATCTCATATTCAGTTCGACTTCTGGAGCACTTGGAGTCCCAGGGTTGGGACCCTATTGCGCAACCAAGTACGCTGTTGAAGGTTTGATTGAGGCGATGCTATATGAAACCGACTCTTTTAATGTCAGGGCCACGTTAATTGAGCCGGGTTTGGTGAGACGCGATGAGCCGGATGCTGGCGACAATCCTCTCCCAACCTGGGGTCATTTTCTCATCAAGCCCTCAAGTAATGGATACGGAAATGCAACCTCTCCAGCGCTTCACGCAAGGAGAATGGTTCAGTGGCTCGGGGACCGCCAGCCGACCAGTGCAGTCAAATGTGCCGAGCTTGTGTGGCAGTTAGCACATTGCACATACCCGCCGCTGAGGCTGCTGTTGGGGAGCTACGCAATTGAGAGCATTCGGGATAGGATGCGCTCAGTTACAGAGGAGTTGGAAGACTGGAAACATCTCAATTTTGCTTCGGCGGGGCAGGAGAGCGAGAGGGAGAGGGACGATAAAGACTGAAATCTGGCAAATTTGTATAATATTATTATGAAAAAAAAAAAACAATTTAATTTATTTTATCAAAGTGTGTCTAAATTATGAAAGGTAAATAAATTCAGAGTGAGTAAATACTCGTAGTAGACACAAAAAAAAAAAAAAAAAACTATTGATAGTGGTAGACTCGTGCTAAATTTTCTTTTTTTAATAGCTAGTTTTATTTATAAAATACCCCTCTAAGAAACGTTTTTTTTTCAAAATCCACTGAATGCCGCTATAATACAACACACTAAACACGTTATAAAAAACAAAACAGAATAAACAAGCATTATAGCAGGAAAAAAAAAAAAATCAAGCAATTAATAGACCAAGAAAAAAAAAGTTTTTTTTCGTATTTAAATAAGGGAAGAAATTATATAAATTAAATATCACCTTTTCTTTAGTTAACACACCCGATGAGACGCTATCCCTGGTACCCCTCCTCGTCGCGATGGCTTATAGCTCTTCCACAGAAGCTGCCTTGGGGCTTCAACCACTTGCAACCCGACTTTCCACAATAGCACTTTCCACAATAGCATCCCTTATCGTCGACGATGTCAGATAGACCGGCTCCTACACAACGCATTGGACCAAGCCACCGGTCAACTGGTGAGAAACCCAGTGCCACGCTCTCGGCGGGAGTCACCTTTGATAATGTTTGCATCCTTCCTCAAACCCCACAGCTAATTGCACTCCTCTCGTAAGTTTACAGAAGTACGGGAATACTATGTCTTTTTGTCAACTTAATATTGCAGAATGATACGAAATAAGAACACCGAGCGAGCCGACTTCATTTTCTATTCGAACCGCATTATTCGCCTCTTGGTAGAGGAAGGCCTTAATCATCTTCCTGTTATAGCACAGACTATTACCACACCAGTTGGCCGCACATATGATGGGCTGATGTTCCAAGGGAAGATATGTGGAGTTTCGATTATGCGAGCAGGTGAAGCGATGGAACAAGGACTGAGAGATTGCTGTCGGTCTGTTAGGATTGGCAAGATTCTTATTCAACGAGATGAAGATACGGCACAACCGAAACTCTTCTACGATAAGCTACCAGAAGATATTGCTGATCGCTGGGTGCTTTTATTGGACCCCATGTTTGCAACAGGTGAATTATACCAGGCGTCTGTCGTGAATGACCTGCAGTCGATTGATAGATATACTAACTGCTCGTGTATCATGCAGGAGGATCTGCCATCATGGCAGTACAAGTGTTAAAGGCACGCGGAGTACCGGAGGACCACATCCTTTTCCTCAACATCATCGCTAGCCCAGAAGGCGTTAATAATTTTGCCACTAAGTTTCCTCGGCTGAAAGTTGTCACTGCTTTCATTGATCAGGTATAGTCACCCAGCTTTTGCCCATAGTTGTTGATGTAACAAGCTGACCCGTGGACAACGCAGGGTTTGGATGAGAAGAAGTATGATTTCATGAGCCACGAACAAAGTGAACCTCCAGCTAACCGTCGTCAGCTATATCATCCCGGGTCTAGGAGACTTTGGTGACAGGTTCTATACAATTTGAAGCGTCCAAGGTTCGGAAATGTACACCTGTATGACGGCTAGGGTCGTTCGTCATCTGGTCGAGGGTGTGTTTCAGTTGTGAGGAACAAGTCATTGCAGGGCTAATCAGTATTCTTCATCGTCCGCAACGACTCCATCGCCTTTATAATGTGCATCGTCCTCGGCCTCGCCCTGAGTAGCTCTGCCACTTTGACCACCTTTAGTTGCGTTGAATGCCCTTGCCGTCGTGCTTCCGTAGTTACCCGCTGCCGTGTCTGCTTTCGCAACTGCATCTGTGTATCGGAGGTGATTAGCGAGGATATTCATACACGTTAACACATCAATATATGAATTCAATCGTCTTCTCGCTTACCGGCGGCATCTACCCATTCACCATACACGTCGACAGCTGCAGAGAGATCTGTACGCGCCAGAGCGTTAGCCAGATTGATTGAATCAATAAGCTACGCGGTAAAGAATGATGCGAAGACAGACAGTTAACGGCGCATTGAAATTTCTGGCCACAAATACGACAGTCTAATTGGCCAACACCCGCTTTTCTGTCCAGTTTGACGCTGACGGATTTCTCATGATTGCAGAAAAGACAAGTGAATGTTGTTGGTAAAGGGTCAGACTGCATTTTCCAAGTTAGAGCATAAGTCGTCAGCCACCCCTCAGACAAAAAAAAACTTGTGAACATGAGGAGAAACCTTTCTAGGGCCCATTGGCTTTCTCGACGACTTCTTGCGTTTTCCCATCGCGGATCTGAGATGCGAGTGATATAATAGAGGTTCGGTGGTTTATTTATCGAGTGGGTGGAGTATTTGGGTTGCGCGTCCGAGGAGCAATTGCCGTGATAGTGAGTGGGTGGGGTAATTGGCTGGCGCTGACTTAATACTTATCGATACCTACGCGCGCGACCCCTGGTTCTATGACAACACAACTGTCACAAGACAGGTCTAATTTAATTGTCACCAGCTATTAGAAGTCTGATATATTATACAAAAAGCTTTAATAAGCTCTCTTGTTATAATTGACAATTTAGTGACGGTCATTAAAACACTCTCCCTCTTTAGGTACCTAGTAGGTGGGTTCTTCATCACTCCGGGTACTGTACCGCCTATGCTTCCGTAAGTGCCGTACGTACCCTACCTACAATACCCTAGCAACCTAAGGTAGGGGTTATGTGGTTATGTGGACGTGGATGGTCAATTAGTGATAGCCGCGCAGGTTAGAGCGTGTGATCGAGTGTATCACTGGTGTTGCTGGTGCCCAGAGCACTCGCTTAGTACCTTCTAGGAACATTAGGTGCCTAGGATCCATGTAACTTTCGTGGTTGGATTCAATGTTCCCCCGTAGTTACCCCGCACCAGCCGTGCTTCCGCAGATCGGCTTGCTGCCGTTTGCGCATGTACTCCTCATTTGGACGAGCTGTGCTACCATTGTTGGGCATCGAACCGAAACAGTGGCCTGAGCAAGACTGATCATGACCGCCCCCCTGACATGCTTCCGTTAACAGCCCAACTCTTGTTACCCCTCCCCCAATGGCTTGTACGGTGTGCAAGGCTTCGGGAAAGGAGCAGGGGTTAATCAGCCAGCAAAACCACTGACCACTTGCACGCATATGTCAATAAAAGAGCCTTTGTGGCATTGTCCTTGGCGGGCGTCATCCTATTACAGGAGAACGAAATACACCAGACATGCAACATCCCACCCCCTAAAAGCAGCGAAGACTACAACTAGGTCACAGTATCCACAGGGCCCTGGATAGCAGCTGGTGACTTCAAGTGACATTAATAATAGTGAAGATTATGGCGTTTATGATGTAGCGTTTTGTAGCCTAGATTTTTATGGGTACTTATATTATCATATAAAATGTTAACCCCGCAGCTACATAATTGTAGTCTTCGCTGCTTTTAGGGGATGTAAACACCAGACTTATCAGGCTATGGGCAGATAAACGGGTAGATAGCGCGAGCACCAATGCTGTCGCTGGCTTTCCTTTTTTCGGGCAGGGGCCGCGCGGTGTTGCACCACTTACCTGACAGGTGGCAAGCCACAGGGCCGCTTATGCACAGGAATAGCGATCGGATGCAACTGTGCGAGGTCTAAAACCGCGTGACCTCCCTCTCTCTATCCGAGCACGACCTCAAGGTCCCCGACAAGTCCGGTTGAATGAAGCAGGAAGTATTCTTCTATGCTTCTATCCCTTCATTGTGAAGTGTCAACAGATTCCTTTTGGCTCTGACTGAAATACGAAATTAGCATACGTGCTCGAGGATGAATTCGGCAACTCCAGACCCTGCGGTGCTAGATGCGCTTCGTCAAATCCAGCACACACAAACACAGTTACTAACGGCTGTTGAGTCCCTCACCGAGAGGGTAAGTGCCGTGGAATCTGACCCAGATGGCTCATCTCATACAAAAATAAGCTCGGAAGTGCGAAGTGGAGGGGAATCAACCGGTCCTAATGCAGCAGCATCCGCCCTTCCCATCTCGAGTCCTCGGTCCCCATTCACATCCCGTATAGTTCTCACGTAAGTCGTGCTTTTATTGCAAAATTTCTCTCTTTCTATCATAACGCTAAGTCAATTGACGCCAGGACGTACCCAAAGCAGATTGGAATAAACCCCTTGCGAATGGATTGGGGCAATCCGGATCCGACCAAGCGAGGACCAGTTGTAGTTTCGAGATCTCCATCGACCATCCGGCGTCGCAATGGTCTGTGATTTTACCTAGCCCACAAAAATAATGACGAGCAGGTATTGACATGTACTTTGTCCTTTCTCATATAGCCATCGGAGGTTAGGCATTATCCCACACCAACCCCAGAGTATGTTCTAACAGTACACAGCACAGTAAGGATTACCCATGATGTTAATGTGCCACGGCAATAGCACTAATTTATACCCAGTGGAGGGTCCTATTCCATATATTATGCACTAGCTGTGGCCAGCAAAGAGCTTGATAGAGACCACAGGTGCGTGCTCTGCCTAATAGTAGAGATAGAAGATGACTTCTGACCGACACTTTTTGAAGGCCCGACTACACTAATACCGAACCCGCAACTCGTATCGGCCCCTTCCCGCAATGGGGAGATCCCCATAAGATTGTGGCCATGGACCCTTGGGGACACCTTACGCCATGGACATTCAAGAAAATCATGGAGGAAGAGCACGGTACTTGACACGGAAGTGGAGTTTCAGGATTTCCTAGCTGACTGGACACTAGTTGATCTACGACCAACAATTGCTATTACAAAAGCGCACATGAAAGTACGTCTGGCCTACATCTTTTTGGCATGAGAATACTGTCGTCCCGGCGGACTTCTAATACGCTTCATCTCACAGCTGCCTGAATTAGAGGAGAGTGTAAAAGCCGGGAGACTGTGAGATGACTAACCCAATTACAACAACACGGTACCATAACTGATTGTTTTGCAAGCGTGCCCGATGGCAAGGTATGCCTGAACAAGTTAGGCGAGCTTGCTGTGACAAAATTTGCTGTTGAACCTGTGAGTTGGCAGTCATTCGTGATCAGAACAGATTGAGCAAATCAGAATGTTCTTAACGAAACTTACAAACCCTAGGTTTGGTACCTTCCGGGTGTTGCGGAAAGGTTTGGAATTGGTAAGCGGTTCAGATGACTCCTTGATGAAATTTGCGACTCACACTGCCCAGATGAGGCTACCCTTCGTCGGTCACTTTTCGAACATACAGGCGGCAGCTATCCTGAGGTGCGACGCAACGCTCTTGTATACGCGATCGTGTGCTCACAATCACAGCTGATTACTCGCGGTGACATCAAAGTTTTTCTTCCACCCATTGGTAACCGCTTCATTCCAATTATTTCCAAGAGTCACAAGTGCTAACAATCTGAAGGCGGGCTGACCGTTTATTGCTTCGGAGATCCAGAGAAGATGTCGGACGAAAATGTTCGATTGTCTCTTCGCATTCATGATGAGGTGGGACAATTACAGCTCAACAATTTCCCGCTTCATACTGACATTGTTAGTGCAATGGGAGCGACGTATTTGGATCTGATATCTGCACATGCCGTCCGTATCTTATTTTCGGTATCGAGGAAGCTGTCAAAGAGGCACAGAATGGTGGGAGTGGGGTGGTAATTTACTTCAGAAAGGAGGGCAGAGCATTAGGCGAAGTAACCAAGGTATGTCCAGGAGACGCTCACCGATATCTATTGTTACTATGTTGTGATATGCCGTTGTTCTTTACTTGGCCTTTACCTAACAGTCATATCAGTATCGTGAGTCTAGCCCAGATTCGAACCGGGTCCCTCATGCTATGACGCTATTCGTACAAGGTACATTAACTAGTTTGTAAGTGGTCTACAATGCTCGGAAACGAGGCGAGGACCGAGCTTCAGATTATTTTATGAGGACAGAAAACATTGCCGGCGTCAAAGACATGCGCTTTCAGGCTCTTATGCCCGACATTTTGCACTGGCTAGGCATTCAGAAGATCGACAGAATGCTGAGCATGAGCAAGTAAGCTTTTTGCGCCAAGCCTGCAGCTGGCACGTAGTATTGAAATTGCTAAATATTTACAGCATGAAACATGATGCTATCGTTAGCCAGGGGTGAGCGAAAGCCCGCCATGGTCGAGGACCACAATTAGAACCCATCCCAAAAGCTTACCCCAACTAGCATTCCAATCTTAGAAAGAGTCGAGCTGCCAGAAGAGTTGATTCCCGCCGATTCCAGAGTTGAAATTGACGCAAAAATAACTGCTGGTGAGTAGCTTAGTCAACGCGCGAAGTAGTCAATTTGAGCTAACTATTGTTGTCAGGCTATTTTACTGCTGGTAAACGCCTCACTGCTGATGAGCTTCAATCAGTGCAGGGGAGGATGTGGGAAGAGTAAGTTGTCCCCCCCCTTTTCTTTTAGGCTTGCAAGGGCTTTGCTCATGGGCCTACAGTATCGATCACTGAGGAGGGAAGAAATGCTTCATCTTTTAAACGCTAAATAGCTAGTCGATCACTATTACAAACCTCAACACAATATTGCTTGTGCCGACACAGATGCTTCCGTGCCTCGTGAGCCCTAAAATAAATGTGCCTCGTAGACAATGATGCCTGACTCAAAAATACTTTCTACCTTCTATCCAACGCTGCCAGTGGGCGATACACACTATACTACTTGACCCGCAATTTACTGTACAGCATGCGTGTTGTCAATCCAGACGTGTTCCCTCCAACGTGTTCAGCTGTCCGTGGACAAAGATCGAAACTCCTCTTGGGTAGGATTGACTATCTTGATAAGTAGCCACATTGACACCTAACTGAGGACCCGCCTGTCAGCTGACGATCATATTGATACCCAACATCGAAATCCCGGCCGAGCTTGAAGAGTTGACCAGAATATCATTGTCGGGTCGCCGGTATAGAAGCTTGGAAATTAAAGCTTAATAATTCGAAGCAAGTTGAATTTCGATTAAGAAATGCACTTTCAACGTGTTCTACATCTTGACAGCAAGCATCTAACACCATGGCATCACAACATGAAAGTGCCGCCGCTGGGCACCTGAGAACATACCAAAAGGTCGAGGAAGCTCCCCCTCGAAGGCCGCGATTACTCAGATGCGATGCCTCAAAGCCTTGTATAAGTACGCAAAGCGCAAGCCGACATGCTCTCGTAAGCCCTGCCTCGCCAACTGCGGTGTATCTGCTTAATAAGATGGGCGGTTATTGTCTAAACCAAAGCGATACCAAAGTGGTTGGTGAAGGCTTAATAATGAAGCACAACGGTCATAGCGTACCCTACGATGAACAGAGTAGCTCAGACGGCTCAATCAATTACCAGATAGCATGTGATTCAGATTCTACTCCAACAGGTCGGTCCTCAGCTCGGTATAAACAAGTATCATCATCAGCAATTGTCTAACTAGTCACCCTTAGACGCCTATTTTAGCTTTCCGAGTTTCGACAACTGGACATCGACAGAGCCAAGCCGTTCCTTCATAATGCAGTCTTAACTGACAGTAAGCACGGAGACGACGGTGGACGGCGAGGGAATCCTTCCAAGCGCCGATGGGGAGAGGGTTCATTGGGCATGCATTTGCATTTGCATTTGCAAAGCATATGGTGGACAACTATTAGGACTATCGCTGTAACGGTCAGAGTTGGCCATGCTGTTGAGAGTACTGACAAAATACTCGGAGCTCGGTGGGCAGTTGGCCGTTTCCCTGAAATTCAACTGAAATACAGAGTCGAAGAATGAGACGGCAGTATGTAGCATCATTGAGAATCATGAAATTCGTGTTAGTCACATTTCTGCACTCTTCCTGAGATTGCCCTCGCAGTTGGCATAGAGATGATATTTGACAGTCAGGGCAAGTTTGGTCAAACGAAGACACGGAACTGAAACCCGAACTTACGTCCAGTACTCCGGTACATACGTACCTACCTACTTAGTAGGTACTTAAGTGTACTACGCGCGCGGCCCCTATTTCTGGTGACAGCATAGCTATTACAAGACAGGTCCTAAATTGTCACTAAATAGTAGAAGTATACCTAAATTGTCACTAACTAGTAGAAGTCTCATGTATTGAGTGAAAAATTCTGTTTAGCTGTCTTGTGATAAATGATAGCCAGAGGACAGTCACCAGAAACCCCCTTGCCGCGCTATAGGTAGCACCGGTAGTTACTCTGTAAAGAAGTGGGCCACAACGAAAGCCCAAGAATTGTCAAAATTTTCCTAAGCCTGTGGGGAAGGAGGATCTTTGGGGGCTGTGTCGCACGTGACAGTCTCCTCGGGCTTTTGGGTAATGGATCCGGACAAAAGTCACTCCGTGAGACTTTGCTGGTTCGCTTAGACCTAGTTGGTGCACACAACAATTGAAATTATTCTCGCCCCTCCACCAATCCCTTCAGCATCATCGGATTCTCCAGCTGTTCACATATCGGCCAGCAATCATGGCGGTTGGAAAGTGAGCATCCCCCGTTCGCGACTACCTATAACTGTAATTTCTAATGAATTGTAGGAACAAGAGACTCTCCAAGGGCAAGAAAGGTCTCAAGAAGAAGACCGTCGACCCATTCTCCCGCAAGGACTGGTACTCGATCAAGGTGGGCTCAAACCTACCGCAACAATTTACAGGCATTTCGCTAAACCTTTCTTTTTTCAGGCGCCCAGCTCCTTCAGCGTTCGAGAGTGAGTTTAATATTTTGTTTAGCGATCCCAGAAAGCGTGCATGGGTTAAAACGGGGCTGACAACAAAAAATAGTGTCGGCAAGACCCTCGTGAACCGCACGACTGGTCTTAAGAACGCAAATGATGCTTTGAAGGGCCGTATCGTCGAGGTTTCCTTGGCCGATCTACAGAAGGACGAAGAGCATTCTTTCCGCAAAGTTCGCCTTCGAGTGGATGAGGTTCAAGGGAAGAATTGCCTGACCAACTTCCATGGGTTGGATTTCACCTCCGACAAGCTCCGATCTCTTGTTCGCAAGTGGCAGACTCTTATTGAGGCCAATGTCACCGTCAAGACGACCGATGACTATCTCATCCGCCTCTTTGCAATCGGTTTCACTAAGCGACGCCCTAACCAGATCAAGAAGACTACCTACGCCGCATCTTCGCAGATCCGCGCCATCCGACGCAAGATGACTGATATCATTCAGCGCGAAGCTTCCAGCTGCACCCTTACTCAGTTGACATCAAAGCTAATCCCCGAGGTTATTGGTCGCGAAATTGAGAAGTCCACCATTGGCATCTATCCCCTGCAAAACGTGCGTAAAGAGATATTCAAGCCGTCACTTGCTTGCACGTAACTAACAAGAGCAATCTAGGTGCACATTCGCAAGGTGAAGCTTCTGAAGGCCCCCAAGTTTGACCTGGGTGCGTTGATGGCTCTTCACGGAGAGTCGGGGACGGATGATCAGGGCCAGAAGGTTGAGCGAGAGTTCAAGGAACGAGTTTTGGCTGAGGTTTAAGAGTTGTTACATGCAAGTGCGAGACTAGAGGGGTTCTCACTGGTGATGTACTCATCTCTGGCATTATTTCGGTCATTGTGGCTAGCATCAACGGCGCGGTTGGAGAACGGTAATTCTCCGTAAATGGTACAAAAAGGCTCTGTTACTACTCTATGAAATCTGCGGTCTATTCTATTTTCTGTGATGCATGTTGTGGTTGTGTGTGTCTATATTGACCATGCCGTCAACTCCAGATTGGTCTTATATTGGCCTAGAAATAGGTGTGGTGAAGCTGTTTGCGGACTGGAGAGGCAAATGGTCCCCCAATATCAAACTTGGTACCAGGAAGCTGGCCAGGCATTGATCAGGTCGCGAGGCTTGTTAAGATTTCAGCCGGAGTACGGAGTTCATCCTGTAGAAAATTATGATGATAGCCTTCGCTGTGAGTGCCCAACTCCACGCTCGACTTAGAACGGACCTATTTCAGCTAGCAAATAACACGAGAATCTTTCAATCTAAATCCTCTTGCAGGAATGAAACGACGGCTGTTTGGAGAATTAGACTATATGCTTGTTAAGTGAGCAGATTTACGTTCTCACCTTGCCGAAATGCTTCGGGTTGTTCAGATATTAGCCAGTGACCTGCATCGATGTCTACGAGACGGAAACGAGGAAAGAATTCTCCGATCGCGGGCAGCACATCATCCGCGACATAGCGACTCTTCGTTCCTCGGATAAAAAGAGCCGGTTTTTTGAACCTCCGTTCCTGTGTATTCTTGTAGGGAAAGTCCCCTAGATTGGCAAGCGATCTCCCTAGAATATCCAAAGGAATACGAAACTGCTGCACATTCTCTCCGGGGACCCTGTACAGATTCCCAAGAAGAAATTGTCGGATGGGCACAGACTGTCACTGCGTTAGCCCGAGAAACGTACTTGGTAGAGGGGTGTATGCGATAGGGATGGTACCTCTTCGAAATTCTGTAAAATTGCGTCGGCCTCGGCTTGGCGAGAAATTTTGGCACCTTGAATCATCTTCATTCCCCTGATGTATTTGGCGAAGTCACCATTCAATGCAACATCAACAGGGGCATTGTCAACTGCCACCACATTTGATACCATTTCCGGAGAGCGAAGAGCAAGCGTCATGGCCGTCTTTGCACCCCTGAATCATCAGACTCTCGTTAGAGAACTCAATTCGCTGGCCAATCAATTGATAGATTGTATGTATAAAACGTACATTGAATGGCCGATAATACTAACGTCAGTAAGCATTTTGTCCTTGATAAATGACGAGACATCTTCTGCCATCGAGAGGTAATCATGCCGCTGATTATGCGGAGATTCCCCATGATTTCTCAGGTCCTAGTGATTGAATAGGTGTTTAGCACGCGAACGACCATCTTGCATACCGAATGATGAGCACCGAGACTAACCAATGCATATACGTATCTGCCCAAATCGCGAGCGATTGCTCTGAAAGGAAAATTTAGCATTTTACACTCTGCTGGTGTGAAACTTGAAAAGCTTACTTGCTGATTCCTCTGTTGTTCTTCTTAGAACCAAAAAGTCCATGCAGGAAGAGTATGGGCGAGGTTGTTTCATTTACTTTTGGCTTTGGCGGTTCGTGTAAGTCGAACGCCAAAGGTCGTACAACTTCGGGTTGAGAATTATGGCAATAGTGTCTGCTCAGTTGCCATGCAGCCCGAATCATCGCTACATTATAGCAGTTAAGATAGGCTCTAGAAGCGATTGATATTAACATAGTGATGCTTGCGAGCAGCGAAAAAAAATTACAAAGGCCTGCAATGGTACACAGAAAAAAATCCAGCTTGCAAAGTCGCTTTTGGGGCGAAAGATCTGTTGTCACGAGTCTTGATAAGTCACCAGTGTGGGTCCCAAAAATATGGCTGGGATGCTTCCCTTTCTTGTCCGTTAATGACCTTTAAAGGGATGGCTATAAAGCATTATAGATGCAAAAACCTTTTCAGTGACGCAATTTAAATACCAGGTAATTTTATAGAACTTTCTGGGACAAATTCAAGCAAAATATATGTATGCTTGCCATGGCACCATTTAGCGGCTAGCGCCCTGGAGTCTGAAAGGACAGTTCGACAGGCCCTGCCAATAACCAAAGATAACAATCACACATGTGGGGCTGCCAGCTGTCCACATTTCAACCGACCTCCTCTTCCCATCGAGATCTTGTCAACAAACTTTCCTGTGTTTTGAAAACTGAGGATTTCATGACGGTTGATGTCAGTTTCTGAACTGAACCCAAACTCTAGCTCACCTCGTCCTCCATTCCGAGATCAAGTACTTCCCCCCTCGAACGCTGCCCCCCCGACCTTCGCCCACTCGATTCAAGGATAAGATGGATTACGAGGCGCTCAAAGAGCAATGGAGCGAGGTGGAAGAGCGTGATGGTGTGCGCTTAAGTTGGAACGTTTTCCCCAGCTCGCGTATGGTTAGTGGCGAAATACTCCTATGATGCCATTTTGTACTGCTAATGCAGTTGTAGGAAGCTTCGAGGCTCGTGGTTCCCATTGGAGCTCTTTACACGCCTTTGAAAGAGAAGCCCGACACGCCTCTGCTCCAATTTGAGCCAGTGACTTGCAAGCAACCTTGCCGCTCTGTTCTCAACCCGTTCTGGTGCGTTCCACATCTACTTGTCTCTCCGTGCCACAATGTCACAAACCAGAGTAATATGACGGAGAACCGACATCCCTCAGGCAAGTTGTACTCGAAAGCCTCTAACCCTTTCGGTAGCCAAGTTGATGTCCGGGCCAGAGTTTGGATATGTCCCTTCTGCCTCTCGAGAAACCAGTTGCCTCCGCATTATAAAGACATCACTGCCAACGCCATTCCGCCGGAATTGCACCCGGCCAATACTACCATTGAGTATCGCTTGTCGCGGCCAGCTCCTGCTCCACCGATTTTTCTATACGTGGTCGACCTTTGCCAGGAAGAAGATGGCTTAACCTCATTAAAGGAGTCTCTTGTCATGAGCTTGAGCCTTTTGCCCGAAAATTCCCTTGTTGGCCTCATCACGTTTGGCACCATGGTATGGTACAATGAAACACAAGTGTGTGTGTCAACTCATGGCTGATGACAAGAATCTAGGCTCAGGTACATGAAATTGGATATGAAGGTTGCGCCAAGTCTTATGTGTTCCGAGGTAGCAAGGATTACAGTGCAAAGCAGGTCCAGGAGATGCTGGGACTGTCCTCTTCTGTGATTCGTCCTGGTAGCCACGCCCAGCCTGGACGCCCTGCGCCAATGGGCCCTGCCTCGAGGTTTCTTCTCCCAGTTCAACAGGCTGAATTTTCGCTCACAAAGGCTCTGGAATCCCTCCAGAAAGACCCTTGGCCTACTGCCAATGACCGGCGAAGTCTTAGATGCACAGGTGTGGCCTTGAGCGTTGCCATCGGCCTAATGGAATCTTCATTCCAAAATGCCGGCGGCCGCATAATGTTGTTTGCCGGTGGACCTGCAACCGAAGGGCCTGGAATGGTGGTAGGGCCTGAGCTTCGCGAACCTATCAGATCACATCACGATATTGATCGTGATAATGTGAAATACTACAAGAAGGCCTTGAAGGTAAGTTCTCAAGATTATCGCCCAGCAAACATGTCACTAACCATACTCTTTCGATGTAGTTTTACGATAACCTGGCGAAGCGGACGGCCCATAATGGCCACATTATTGACATATTTGCAGGCTGTCTCGATCAGGTTGGCCTTCTAGAAATGAAGGGCCTGTGCAACTCTACAGGCGGCCATATGATTCTCACGGACAGTTTCACATCATCGATGTTTAAGCAATCGTTTGTTCGCATATTCGAAAAGGACGGGGATGACAATCTTTTGATGGGCTTCAATGCAGTCCTGGAAGTGCTCACTACGAAGGAGTTGAAAGTTACTGGCCTGATTGGGCATGCTGTGTCACTAAACAAGAAGTCCGTGTCGGTGGGTGAAACGGAATGTGGCATTGGCAATACATGTTCGTGGAAGATGTGCGGGATCGATCCACAGGCGAGCTACGGCATATATTTTGAAGTTGCAAGCCAAGGCCCAGCGACCCACCAACAAGCGCCGCAGAAAGGCATGATGCAATTCTTAACTTACTACCAACATTCTTCTGGACAGTTTCATCTTCGTGTTACCACTGTTGCACGGAACTTGAGCGGCCCTGCTGGAGATCCCGCAATTGCTCAATCATTTGACCAAGAAGCCGCTGCCGTACTCATGTCTCGAATTGCGGTCTTTAAGTCAGAAGTTGATGATGGGCCAGACGTGCTCCGATGGGTAGACAGAATGCTCATTCGTCTTTGTTCGAGGTTTGCTGATTACCGGAAGGATGACCCTTCGTCTTTTAGACTGGAGAAGAACTTCACTCTGTATCCACAGTTTATGTTTCATCTCCGAAGGAGCCAGTTCTTGCAAGTCTTCAACAATTCGCCGGATGAGACTGCGTTTGACCGGCATGTCTTGAACCACGAAGATGTGGGCAACTCTCTCATCATGATCCAGCCGACACTGGACTCATATACTTTTGACCAGGAAGGTGGACAGCCTGTTTTACTTGACTCTGCCTCAATCCAGCCGACGCATATTCTGCTTCTAGACACATTTTTCCATATCCTCATCTTCCATGGAGAGACCATCGCGGAGTGGCGAAAAGCGGGCTACCAAGATCAAGAAGGCTACGAAAACTTTGCCGCACTGTTAGAGCAACCAAAGGAAGATGCCAGGGTAAGTTGTATGGGGGAAAAAAAATAACCAAATGATGCTAAATCAGTTTCAGGACCTAATCACTGATCGGTTTCCCTTGCCTCGGTTCGTCGTTTGCGATGCGGGTGGTTCACAGGCACGATTCCTGTTGTCCAAGTTGAACCCCTCGACAACCCACACAACGGGGCCATATGGGGGCGGCGGAACCGCTTCGGCTCAAACTATCTTCACTGACGATGTATCCTTGCAGACGTTTATGGATCACCTTATGAAGTAAGTGATCGGAGCCCCAATATCATTGTTTAGTCAGGTGACAACTAACCTCTTGTAAAAGGCTTGCGGTTAGTGGCACCAGTTAGCATAACGTGTCTTGGCAATGCGACATTTTGGCTCGCGTTCTTTTGCTACAGCTAGCTGGGGTAGAAGTCTTTTGGGGTAATAAGCTTGCCAATATACGTACGTACCTAGGTAGGTAATAACATGTAATTTCAGAGGGAAGTTAGCGGTAGTGGATTCACAAGGGCACAGGGATACCATAACCTACCTAGTACCTACGCGCGCGGTCCCTGGTTCTGGTGACAGTACAGCTATCATGAGACGGGTCCTAAATTATCGCAAGCTGTTGAAAGTTTAACATATTAAACAAAGATTCTAACGAGCTGTCTTATCATAGTTAAGAGGTTAGTAATGGGCATTAAAATACCCCTTATGCCTCCTAGGTATCTAGTATTGCCTGGGGACTCTCCCAGTGGCTAGTGACCGATATGATTATGTAATTACATTGTCGATATGCTAGCATCTCGTTGCCAGATAATTCAGCTAGCCAAAAGCCTCACCTGAGGTGTTAGTGAATCCGAGCCTGACTAAGGTGGGGCGGGCAGATTACGGAGTACTTTCGCGAGGTGCAGTTAGGGCAGACCAGTGGGGCACACATAATTTTCAAGGGCCTCTTGTGAAATTTGTGGTTAACTTTTTCTTTCCATCATCACTTAACACATACGGCACGCAAACCACGAGCCTCTGCCAATTCCGATCAGTCAATATGCGTAAGTCGCAATTGATGAAGTGATACCATTTCGACGCAGGTACTAACAGTTCGACAGCTCCCAAATTCGACCCCAACGAGATCAAGATCATGTTCGTGGTGCTTCAGGCGACACTTCGAAGAAAACGTAGACTGACATGCTTCACTTAGCCACCTCCGTGCCACTGGCGGCGAGGTGGGTGCTTCATCTGCTTTAGCTCCCAAGATTGGTCCTCTGGGTTTGTCCCCAAAGAAAGTCGGAGAAGACATCGCTAAGGCTACCGGAGATTGGGTAACTTTCCTTCCTACGTTGTAAAGCATCAACCCAGGCAGATTACTAACCCCAATGTTAGAAAGGCTTGCGCGTGACTGTCAAGCTTACCATTCAGAACCGTCAGGCTGCCGTGTCTGTCGTTCCTACCGCTTCGTCCCTAATCATTAGGGCTCTGAAGGAGCCTCCTCGCGACCGAAAGAAGGAGAAAAACATCAAGCATAACAAGTCGGTCAGCCTCGATGAAATCATTGAAATTGCCCGCACTATGCGATACAAGTCTTTCGCTAAGGAGCTCAAGGGTACAGTCAAAGAGATCTTGGGAACCGCCTACAGCGTTGGTTGCCAGGTTGACGGCAAGGCTCCCAAGGTCATCATCGAGGCTATCGACAATGGCGATATTGACAGTATGTCTCACCACCATCTCTCTGAGCTCTTTACCCGTGGTGTTCAAACTCGCCAGTATGAGATTGCTAACTGCTCAATCTAGTTCCCGCGGAGTAGATGTTCGTCGGAAAAAAAAAAAACCAAAACACTCGTCTAAGCAAGCTATGTCGGCAATGAGCTCAATGTGTAGTGATAATGGCATATCATGAGCGGCATAGTAGTCACCTATATGACAACGTGGTTCAGTTTCGAAAAGTCCCCTTACAGTGACTCGTGATGTGATGTAAAAATGGCGAGCATAAACCCTCAGCTACACTCTGAGATTGACCAGACTTCACGGTGGTCTATTTCAATTTTTGCTCGAGGAAGAATAATTCTCATTGTGGCCCCTTACTCACCGCGACACTCTGGCCTTTTTTTTTGCCCCCTGGGTGTAGTGGTCCATAAATCTGGCCAACATATCTCCAAAGATAGCTTGGGACTCGTGTACCCGACCTCCAGCGAATATCAATGCATCCATAATAAGTCAATGTCGAATATTGTGGTCTTCTCTGGCGGTATCATAATGTCTGTTGTGCTCTTTGTCAATACAATATAACAAGTGGCTTTATCCAATCCGTTGTCCTCCACTTCAGACATTTCATCTTGTGCTCGCTTTCAGACCATACCATTCATTGTTGGGCACAGCATCATGTGGTGGTGGGGAGTAGGTTGGTTCTCCTATTGGGTGCCAAGACTGTGCCTCATGTCTGGTATGCAGGGACCTACTTTCGCCGTCGGGCTCCTAGCTTTAATTTGGGACTTTGCGGACCTTGGTGGGCGTCATCACTGATACTTCGAGGGCGCGGCTTCTGCCATATTCATGAATATCAAGTCATAACAGCACTACCGCGTACAGCGTGAGGAAAGGGTATTTACCCACCAATTCACTGATTTATCATGTGTCGCTTACATGCTGTTTTGTAGGGACACCACTTGTTTTCATGGCACAAGTTCGTAGCATTGGCGACAAAGACCGCTTGGCAGCTATCCCCACGGAGGAATTTACTGGTCACAAAATGTCATCGATGACTTACGGTGGGCTTTTTCTGTTAAATCATGGGCTTTTTGTCTTTGCACCTGTTACCGTATTTCCAGAACCAGTCACCGCAACGTTATCCGCAAACCCCAGTGAGCTGGCTACCTTTCCGACTCAAGTTCTGGTGCCCCCTGCTGCCCAGTCACCAGGAACCAGTGAGATATTCGATGCGAGCTTGCTCTGAGGTCGGTGCAGTAAGGTGGTACTTTTAGACGACAGGATGGATTGATTGATTGGCGATTCACTTTGGTGAGTGTAGGGTAAGAGATTGATTCGATACTGTGCCTGCAGCAAGCATGCGGACCACGGGAGGATCTCTCTAGATTATATACATGCCATGTGCAACTGGGCTCAATGGTAGTCCCGTTTACTATGCAATGTTTCCCCCGCTGGAGGAATTGTTGTCACACATTCTAGAAGTCAGCTATGTAGTCGTCGTCGCAAGCTTGCCTTCTTAGAAGCGGTCACCTCCACCGCGCCACAGCACAAGCCACCAAAAGCAACACCTTTCCCTTGGACCAACACTCAACGGTGCTGTGCTTGGCAGGTCAGCACATCGCTTCCTGACCCTGTCCCCTCCCTTCCTCGTCTCTTGCACAGAAACCCACAACATCACCGACAGCGGCGACACACGGCGACACACGGCGCCTCACCTTCAATTGTACTCACACCCCGAGACGGCATCATAGGTCCGTCCTCAGGACATCACGTTGGACACCCTTGGACAGCCGCAGGACTCCAGCGTCATCCACAGGGAAGACGCCGTCAGCAGCCCCAAATGCGTCTCGACTACTTCACATCATCAGCCATGCGTTGAGCGGCAAGCCATGATCGAATGCTGACTTGCCAGCCGTCGTTCATCTGTCGTTGACCTTGTATGATTCAGACCCCCCCAAGTTTCCTTCGGATATGCTTCCTGCACCGCCGATGCATCCTGGTACCGTGCCAGGGCCACAAGCTTTCAACAGCTTATCCAATGTACCTGGACGAGAAGCCAACGGACACAACGATGGCCACATCCGCCGATTCGTATCAAACCATAGACGTTCTTTTCCGATCAGGCTATCGCAGTCGACGCAACAGGCTGCCATGCCAACTGCTCATCTTGGTTCATTTACACCCGAGCATAACCTTCGCAGAAAGACGCCGGGCGGAACGGTCGAGGCGGGATACGATGGTTCGCCGATTCAACCATTCCCGGGACCACCACCATTGAAACAGATGATACTCCCCATATCAGTTGGCTCAACATCCTACTTTCCACCGGACTCTTTGTTGGGATCTACACAACCGCCGCACATCCAATTCAATGTGCCCGGTAGCAGTTATAACCACGGCTCTCACCCCCCCGCAAACTTCCAGCCCGCTGCCTGGGCATACAACGATGCAACACCCAATGGGTTGGATCTTTCGACGGTTCTGAACAGTGGTTCACGCTTGCTGAATACCAGCAATGCCCAAGCCATGGGTCAGCCTTCAGATCTTTACCAGCCAGTCATTCGAGCGCATGAGCACAACCTCCGTGCCTTCTGCCCCCCTCCAGCTCCAACTAGTGGTTCGTTGCTATTTGGTCATATGGGCTGGCACTCGGGATCTTCGCCATGGGACCATAGCAACTATGACAAAAACACCGGCCTTGGTATTTCATACACGACACCAGATATAAACCATACCGGATATGGCCAACATGGCAGCGTCGTATCTCAGCACTCACCATTATACGCCAAGTATGAAGGGCTAGATAGAGGGACACGATATTCTGGACACAGTCCACGGTGGGGGTTTCATACATACCAAGGTCCTCGCTCAAGGACTGATGGCCAAAGGGTGACTTCGATCGGAGAGTCACATCTTCGGGAGAAAGCCTTACAGCAGTCTTATCAAAGCTATGTGGAACTACTTTCATATTTGCAAGCCAGTGGCAAAACGAGTCCAACAAGAAGTAGCCCTGGCTCCTTCAATTCGCACAAACTGCCGGCGTATCCCAAACCACCGAAGCTACAGAGCCTTGGAATGATCAAAAGCGCCAACCTCGCGAACCCCAATGCGACATCTGCCAATAGTATTAGTGAAGGTTCGCCCCAGCATGGTGGACGATGTACTTTGGATAGCGACCGGTCCTTACACAGTCATGCTCCCTATAGCCAATTCACTCCCAGTGGTAACAACATGTACCTTTTTGACCAAAAACTTGTCTCGGCAAACCCGAGCCTCTCAGCACCGTCTTTTAGCAATATAACATCCGCAGTCCATCCATTGCCGATATCCAATGCTCTGACATCTCTAGACATCCTTAAGAACCTCTGCGAACAAACCAAGTGGCAATGGATCGAAGGTATGCTTGTCGGAGGTTGCCTTCTATACTGCCTAGAGCGGTATGATGACGCGTTAAAATGGTTCTCAGCAATAATCAAGCTGGATTCGGGGTGAGTATACCTGATTATGAAGAATTACTGCCTCATCTACTAATCAAGGGTCTTATAGTCAAGTTGAGGCCACTACACATCTTGGTGCAGCTCTGTATTGTCTTGGCCGCCAGGATGAAGCTGAGCAGAACTGGCTTCGGGCGGTAAAGCTAGAACCAAGCTATTTAGATGCCACGGAACATCTAGTAGGGCACCTGTACAAAAACCGGAGCGGGGAAGCTATCGAAGTTATAGCATATGTCCAGAAAGCTTTAGGCCCCGTTATCGCCAGTACGAGCTCTACCCAACCAAAGGCCCCACTGCCTATTCTAGGAAGTGGAAATGAACTAGTTGTACCAGGCTCTCAGTCTCAATTTCTGAATGGGAGCAACGGTAGCAATACCCCTGGATTCGGATCCAGTGGTTACTTGCTGTCTGGTATAGATAACGGCAGAATGCTGGCCCTAGTTCATGCGAAAGGCACATTGCTCTATAGCCAGAAGGACACTGAGCGTGCGTCGGAAGCCTTCCAGGAAGCTGTTTTGATCAGCCTTGGACGACAAGTTACTGGGATCCAGGAACTTATACGTCGTATCCAAGTCGCGCTCTCATCACGAACATGCCAAAATGCCTCTAGCCAAAAGCCACAATCTCTGCATCCGTTGATGTTATCTCCAGAAAAAGCCCGGCATACCGCCCAACTTGTTTTTGGTGGCACCGGTGAACTACCCGGTCTCCAGTTTCTCCGAAACGGGCCATCTAAACGTGCTGCTGTGCAAACGACAAGCAATTCATTGCTGTCACTAGCTAAAATCTTGCAAGACGCCATGTCTAGTGGCAAAGTGGATTTTGGCCTCTTTCGTGGCTCATCGCAAGTCGGCGATATACTCGCTCTGTACTATCTTTCTTTGTCGCTTCAGGAGAGTCCGTCTACAGCCAATAATGTTGGCATTCTCCTCGCTGGCGTTCAACAAGGCATTGCCACATCCTTAAACACAGCTGGTAGAACAATGTCGCAAACTAGCATACCTGGTATTGCCCCTGGAAGTGGCCTTGCCCTAGCACTTGCGTATTATAATTATGGCCTTCGACTCGATCCGAACCATGTTCATCTTCATACAAACCTTGGCAGCTTGCTGAAAGATGTTGGTCAACTGGACCTGGCAATACAAATGTACGAACGCGCAGTATCCTGTGACGGGACGTTTGACATTGCTCTCACGAATCTTGCCAATGCTGTCAAAGACAAGGGCCGGATAAACGATGCCATTCACTACTATCGACGCGCAGTAAACGCGAATCCTGGGTTCGCAGAGGCCGTTTGCGGGCTTTTTACGGCCCTTAATTCCGTGTGCAACTGGCGTGGCCGTGGCGGTGTGTTTCTAGAATCTGGGAAGTACGACCGGTGGCATGTCAATAGTGACGGAATGCTCATTGATGCTCAAACTAGTGGGTGCAGCAGCGGTCTCACTAGGCGCGTCGTTGATATCGTGAGCCAACAACTCAAGGATGCATCTCACTGGGGGCAAGGCATGTTGCGGGAATCCGCTATATGTGATTTGGCAAAGCAACTGCAACATCTTTGCAAAGACCCGTCGTTTCGACTAGAGGAAGCCCTCCGCCGATGGGCTGATCAGCCATGGGAAGGATCTCGGCTTTTGCGACTGATAGAGCGTGCCACACGAGTGTTATTGAGGAAAAGCTACAGAGATCGTTATCTATGTGGTCAAACTAACAAATTGTCATACGACAGACCGAAACTGCCGCAAAATCTTAGTGTTCCATCAGCACCTACAGTGCTTCCATTTCATACCTTCACGTGTCCCTTAACAGCGAAGCAAATAAGAGCAATTGCTCAACGAAATGCTCTTCGTATATCGAGCTCGACACTTCGATCACCATGGATACCTTCCACAATGTACCCCCCTCCTTCCCCTCCGAATCCGCATTTGAATGTGGGCTATATATCCTCAGATTTCAATAACCACCCGTTGGCTCATTTGTAAGTCACACTGTCTGTTTTTTATTCAACGTCTTTGCTATTGGAGCTATATCTGACTCTTAAACTAACTTATTTGAAGGATGCAATCCGCCTTCGGGTTCCACAACTCGGATCGAGTCCAAGCTATTTGCTATGCCACCACACCAAGTGATGGGTCTGTTCATCGCCAGCAGATTGAGAACGAGGCGCCGGTGTTCAGAGACGTCAGCAACTGGCCACCAGATAAATTGGTTGAACAGATTACACGGGACAATATTCACATATTGGTGAATCTAAATGGTTACACCAGGGGTGCAAGGAATGAAATCTTTGCAGCCAGGCCGGCACCTATTCAAATGTCGTTTATGGGGTTTGCTGGCACGTTGGGTGCTGAATGGTGCGACTATATACTAGCTGACAAAACCGCGGTCCCGTCGACAACTCTTCGTCCTTGGAGAGATAATGTGTCAATCGAAGATGTGTTCTGTGACAACAATGAAGACACCACAGGTGACTGGGTGTATTCGGAAAATGTTATCTTTTGCCGGGACACTTTCTTCTGCTGCGATCATGCACAGTCATGCGCAATTGACGAGAAAGAAACTGAATGGGCTGAGGTGGAAAGGCGGAGGTGGAGGATGAGAAAGGAGTTGTTTCCCAATCTTGGAAACGATGCTATCATACTCGGCAACTTCAATCAGCTCTACAAGGTAAGTAAACAAAGCCTTCCTCTTTAACTTTGCCATTTTCCCAAGCCGTCAATCTAATGAGATGTGGAAAGATTGACCCGACAACTTTTCGGGCTTGGCTACGCATTCTGGCTCGGGTTCCACGAGCAGTTTTATGGCTTCTTCGATTTCCTGAACCCGGTGAGAGCAACCTACGGGCTACAGCTAAAGCATGGGCCGGACCTGAAGTAGCAGAACGGATCATTTTCACAGATGTGGCACCAAAAAGTCAACACATTTCGCGGGCCACTGTTTGTGATATGTTTCTGGATACCCCGGAATGCAATGCCCACACCACAGCTGCAGATGTCCTGTGGTCCAGCACCCCACTACTTACTCTTCCCCGATACCCTTACAAAATGTGCTCACGGATGGCTGCGTCTATTCTACGTGGTGCACTTCCTCGATCTTTGGAAGGTCAACAAGCAGCCGAGGAACTGATTACATACACTGAGGCAGAATATGAGCAGCGAGCGGCTGATTTGGCGAATAGTCTTAAATACACAATGAATAGTGGCGGCTACGGACAAAGCAGTGGCCGTCTGGCGGACATACGGAAACTTTTGTGGGATAGCAAATGGCACTGTGGCCTATTTAATACCCGAAGATGGGTGAAAGACCTCGAGACAGCATATGAAGAGGCATGGAGAAGGTGGATTAATGGTGCGGGTGGTGACATATACCTCTGACAGAGCTCGACTGCCCTGTGAGGCTGTGACCAAATAACGATGATAAATGATGATGAACATGACCATGATTAGCGGCACGTTCGTTACCTCGACTCGTAATCGCATACTCACCTAGCAATGTATCGAACTATTTCGTCTGGCATCTGACCTTACTTGCTAGTCGATATTTAAGCATGAATCAATACTCTAAAAACCATTTGTAGTAAAATCTAGAGCGTGCTTTCCCGTTCCTCAACATTGTAGGGGCACGCTTCTCTAGACTGGTAAACCCAGCGTAGTCTCCGGCCACCTACATGGCACTAATTAGCGACGAATTGACATGGGCTGGTGCCCCTCACAATCTATTTGACTTTTTTTAGTCAAGGGCAGTATGTCAATGACAGTGCCATTGTTCTGCCTGGTCCTCTCTAGGCGAAGTCTACTAGCCATGGCCCGTGTTTAAAATTGGGTGCTGTGTACGAGTGTAAAAAAGGAGGTTAGCAGGTGGCCGGCACGATGGGTTTGGAACATCATCGCAACTTGTCTAGATGGCTCCAAACCCTGACAGTCTGGTGCCAAGACAAGCCTCTGGCCATTCTCGAACCACTAGACGCCAGTTTCAATGTTGCATGACCACCAGGGCAGCATCAGTCATAAAACCATCGCCGGTTCGGCAAAAGTATCAGACCCAACCACACCATCCGACGTTCGGCGTTGATGCAAACCTAAAAACTATGCGAAATTTGCGCTTTTGGCCATCCATGACGCGTATATACTGATACTGAGGATGCTCCTTTATGCCGCTTGGATTCTTCATCGTTTATTCGGTGAGCGGTGGGCGCCTGGCAAAACTTTGAGGAGTAGTGTAATTCTTAATCATACTTGGTTGCCAGGCAGCTAGATATTCCTGAGTGTCAGAAGTAGTAGAACACCAGGGTTGGGACATTTTTAGCAAAGCGTTTTGCATTAATCGATATATAACTATTTGTAGACGACGGGAATCTCGCGACTTGATATTGAGCCTTTTGCCTACCTACCTAGGTACCTAGTAGGCAGTAGGCAGGGGGGTGAGTAAGCAGAGTTTTACAGGCTCTCTACGACTAGGATTCAATTCTGCCTCTGCATGGCTCTGAAGCCACTTGAGCGGCCGGCCGTATTGACTGCTTGGCTTGATATGGGTCAAGTATTGGTCCGGTAGCTTCTCAGGGCGGCTGGCTGGCAGGGCCCGTTCCGCCAGTCCTGTCAAGCCACCGGCGGTTTGGTCCAGTGGGCATGAAATCAAGCCTGCACTATCCGGTGCACGTAAATATCAATGTTTAATACCCAGGTAGGTATTGTACACACCAGTTGACGTTCAATGTCCTTAGTTTCATACCTTCCTAGTGCCTTTAGGTGGGTAGGTAGGCTCCGCACCTGACCGATGATAGGCACTCGATGTGACTGGTCGACCTGTCAAAGACAGATAGATGATGGCTCGTCAAAACCGTGAATGAGAACAGTGTAGTGGATTCTCTAACGTCACTATGCCTGGATACCACCTCTTGGGTCTGATCAGCTCCATCTTGGCAACGATGGCAGTTGTTGTGGTTCTGCTAACCTGTCTCATGATCTCTCAACGCAACCGCGCCATCCAAGATGTTAGAACCAACTGCACTAGTCGTTTGAAGGAAGTTAATTGCCAAGGCGAGTGTAGGGGAAGCTGTTTTCATTGTGTGCGTTAGGTCTCTTTAACAACTCAGAATCAACCTTTATGTTTTGCACTTGTCACGATCGACTTAAAGTTTATTGCTTGCCCGCAGGAGGCAGGGCATTTGACACTTTGCCCCTTTGCTACTCTAGCAAACTTTAGAAGGCAACCCAGGCACATTTGGCCTACCTACCGAGGTACCTAGTAGGCTTCACGGCATCATGTCCCCCATCCTCGCGTGCCAGTGGTTTCCTTCTCAGCAAGAGTCACCTGCCTATGGGCTCTCACATGACCGTCTACAAGTTTCAAGACAAAGAGGCAAAATCCTTTCTGTCCGTTTTTGCCCTGACCAGAAGTACAAGTCGCGCGGGATTTAGCTCCAAGAACCCTACAGTAGCTAGCTAGTAGGCAGTTAGTATGATTCGCCAGCAGCATTTCAAAGTTGGCAACAGAATCCCAAACGACTGACTAGACTGTTCAGAGAATGAGATAGTGCCAGTCCGAACGAAGCCTGGCACAACTGGACTCGGCGCCAGGCAAAATCTATTCAACTCAGTGGGCAAAAGGCTCCTGATTGGCGAGGGTCTACGTTTTGGTGGCAGGTACGGAATACATGACCAAATGAGGTAAGTAGACCAGGGGATGGTGGCCCTGGCCAAGCAAGCGCCATCCCGGCTGCAGATCATTGTGTTCTATTCTCCAGCATTCCGATGCATACACCCCCTCGTTCACCCAGCACGCCCAATGCGTGAGACGGGAGTTCACGCTCCTCCATGCTACACAGGAGTGTAACTGTCACCAGATTTCAACCATGGGCTGTCTTCAGTCGCTACTTTGGGCTTCTGCTCTATCTGGCTGGCCTATTAGTCACCTCTCAAGGCGACTTGCTTTTGGTTACCCATCTGCCCTGGCACCCCTGTCCGTACTTCAATGTTGACTCTTCTGAAAGTCACACCCCACATCCACACCCTCTCCACCGAGAGTTTGTCCAGCGTCAAGTGGTGCGTCTGACAGCGGTGCTAACACAAGTACACCGAGCCTCATCGGGCCTCCCCATCATTGACGCATTCGCTTGCATATTTACTTTCTTCTAGTCGCGAACCCCCCCTCTCCGCCCAAACTCTCCTGTCGACACAATGAAAATAGCTTGATACCCCAGCGTAACTCTAATTTTCTTATTAGTTCTTTCACCCATCGTGACAAGAAATCTTATAAATTAAAGGAGTTTCAGCAAACCTGTCCTCCGTTCCAAGCAGTCAACGACCTACTCAGGGCAGTTGAGCCACAGCGGTCACGAACGCTTCCCGCTTTCTTTCTTTCGCCACCGCAGAGAATTGCCAGGGTTCCAACCATGGAACCTCGTCAAAGGAGGGGTCCTTGGTCCAATACCGAGGACCGTTTTCTCCTGAGCCTGATCGGAAATCGAGGCCCTTTGAACTGGGTTCGCATCGCTCAAGTTCTTGGATCCCGTACTCCAAAGCAATGCCGGGAACGCTATCACCAGAATCTTAAACCATCTTTAAACCATGACCCTATTACACCCGAGGAAGGCGCCAAGATCGAGTATTTGGTAGAAACTGTTGGAAAACGATGGGCCGAGATTGCCCGCCGCCTTGACGGACGAAGTGATAACGCGGTCAAGAACTGGTGGAATGGAAGCCAAAATCGAAAGAAACGCTCTGAACGCCGACGCCGTGCTTCGAATCCAACATCGGCAGCTGAATCACCATCGTCGACCTCGTCCTCGCCGTTGCCATCATTTGATCATGGTATGCAACGAGCACCACTTTCAATCATGAGCCCGATACTCCCCGCACCCTTTCCCAACAATCTTAGATCACCTATGTCTGGCTCCAGGAATCGGATTGGGTCTTTGGTGGATGGCCCCCTTCCATCACCATGTTCTTCTGAGCCATCGGATTTGGATTCAAGCGCCAATTACACGACGTCCCCAGCTGATCGATCACGCTCACTTTATTCTCAAATACCCCAGGTTGAGCTCCCTCCATTGCGCGGATGGCCAGAACCCGTCCCGGCAGAGTCTCAGCTGCCTCGTATTAGTCCAACGGGCAGGCTCGATGAAGGGAGGTTTGGTAGGGACTTCGTCCGCCTGCCCCCATTGCCCAGTCCACCCGAACCCATGACAACACCTACTTTACCGACATTGCAGAAGGAGGAGGAAGGAAAAGAACGGCGACATGAGCAGTCGCAGCGAGGACCACAGCCTCCTCCCCGACATTCGGGGGCATCAGACTCAAGTGCCGAGGGAGTTAGCAACGACATGGGTTATAAAATGAGGCTCGCGTCACTATTGGCGTAGTAGAGTTTCTGTGTATTGTCAGTTGTCGTTGTCAATACTGTTTCCCGCCGTGGCTCCCAAGTGCCACTTGGAGTCCATGGGCCCCGGCACAGTGACGAAATGCGTGGTACATGCTAGACATTCGTCCGCCTTCAAGATTGTTGTTTTTGTTACCTTAGGGAGATTTTGGGTAATCGACGCGCTCGCTACAAGCTCTCCACTTGAGCGACGTTGCGTCTCAAGTTCACAATTTGGGCAGGCGCCGTCAATTGTCAACATACCACTGGTGTCCAGCCTCACTTGCTTAAAGCGTTTTCCCCCTCTTATCTTTGCTGTCTGTTGCGCTGTCGTGTGAGGACCAAGACCTGCGGTCATTTGTTAAACATTCTGCCAATCTATACCCCCGACCGTTTTGGCAGAACTTGGTCTAGCACTCTACTACAGTTGGGCGAATTCATGCATGTGTCACTAGAAGACTTTGCTCGAGGCTGCTCTGGCGTATCTGGAGTTATATTAGGAAATGGGGAAAAGAGATGATTTTTGCGTTAGTGTCAATTAATATGTCTTGTTTTCAATGGCCGTCCCGTACTCGCGTGTGAGAGCAGAGATGCATTGTGTTTGTAGAGCGGAACTGCTTTGGAATCTGATGTGCAGCGTCTCGACTCGTACAAGTCAAATTGCTTGCAGCCGCATTCCTTTATCTGTCTCTTTGGATTATTCCGGCCAAGGAGCGACTGACAAGGCCGGACACAAAAAGCCAAGGCCAGTTGATATTCTCAGCAGAAAGCTGTGTCTCAAGGGAAGAACGTTAACCTAAGTCTAAGAACAAAGCATTGGTTGCCAATAAGCAGCCCATCCATCCGGATCAATATCAGTACTCGCGTTGGCCGCACGTGGCTGCTAGCAGGAGTGCGAAACTACGATGAATGTGGCAGCTCATGAAGCCCAGTCCACTACTTGCACTTGGCTCCATTTTGTATAGCAAAGTGTTGAAGAAATTGCGTGCAAAAGATGAGAAATTGACGGATCCAAAAA